TAGGCTATCTTTTTAACAACATACCAAGCGGAAAAGCCGCGGGCGGAAGCTAGTATTTTCATAATAATTTAAATTATAAGTCAAAGGGATATTGTAACTTGATAATTAATCCTTTGTCTTATGGTTTGCTGTTATATACTAGTGAAGTCACAGTCAAAGCATTTATTTCAAGTAATACATATTGAGAATCAGGAAGCCTTTAGTTCAATCCTCAGATAAAAAGTCATTATAGGTCTCCCTAATACAACTTGTACCTAATAGATAAAAGAACCTGGCAATGTGAGAAAATTTGGAATTTCTCCCATATTTACTCACATGGAGTTTTTATTAAATTCCTTGGATTGGAGAAGAGTCTTTGGATAGGTACCTCTAGAATATATAAACACAAACACATGCGTATAACATTTTACTGACTTGTAACAGATACCTGATTTTCAAAGCAGTGGACACTTATAGACGGATGATGATGATGTTATGGTGATGACTAGATACTGATTTAGTAACAAGTATGATATTGTTTAAAGTCATTACCCTTTCACGCATTGTAAACATTGTTTTGTCAATGAGATTTAAATATTTATTTAGTTATCTATGGTTTAAAACTTTCAATTTTTTTTTTTACTCATGTCAAACACAATTGGGTTGTAATTTAAATTTGGAATAATCTTTTTTCCTTATTTCTTAGCATCACAAATCAACCACTAAAAATGGAAATAAATATGTTTCAATGAAATGAATAGATCAATGATAATATTTTAATTCTTTAGCCTTAACATTTATTTTAGACACAGCCTTAGTAATATTGTTGTATCAGATTGGGTTGACTCACTGGCCTTGATTCAACAATTTAGTGAGACTGGTTCACTCATTTATAATATATTTTTTATCAATCTTATATACCTATTGAGGAACCAATCTGCTTTAAATTTATTTTTTATATAAAAGTAATGGACTGCATTGTCTCTTAGCAACAGTCCCTAGTATTTTGTACAGGTATTTAATTATTTCCTATTAAGAGCTATTAGGTCTGTGGTTAGGTTGGAGGATTTTAGAAGTAATTATTGTATGAATAGGTCAATAAAATATATTAATATGTAATTAGTCTGTCATTTACTATGCTATTTTTATATTTTGTAATGAATGAGAGATAATAGTATATAACTGCACTTAAAAAGATATGTTCACACTAGTTTACAAGTTTTTACATGTATGAGATTTATGTCTATTTACTTTTACATAAAAATATAAACACTAAAGTATAAATTGTATGTAAAAAACAAACAACAAACTCGAATAATATTTGAGTCACTTGTAAATCTTGTAATTATCTGAATCTTATCATAAGTACTGATGATAACATCAAAAAGATGTACAACACAAGAATATAGCAACACCATATTTCCTTCTCTCTCTTACTATCACAGAGTAAACAATGAAATCATTACATTTTATACCACTTTTTATGCTATACACCAATACTAGCATTTGAAAAGTTCTAGACTTATCTACCTATATCTATATATTAATCAATAATGTCCAATATACATTTGATAAGATAAAAGACTGACTAATTGGTATTTGTTATCAAAATATTCATGAATATAGGTTGAAGAATAGTCTGTGCCTTGGATATCAGAATTCTTAAATTTATGTATATTATGTGTGATTTCTTAGAGGTGGAAAGCCATTAAAATATCTCCTTCCCATCTGGGTCAGGAAAAGTGTCAGATTTACTGACTAAACCCACTCAGTTCCTTGAACTGAACATTTTGTAATTTCGGAGTTTAGGATACCAAAGTAATAAAGTGTTAACAACACAACCATACAGAACAAATCACTGATCACTTCTTTTTGAGTGCTGAAAACCATCAAATTCTGCCCTGAGTGGGTTGAGAGGGAGTGTTAGAATCTTACTGACTAAAAGCCACGGCCACAGAACATTATTGTTATAGAAGTCTAAACCCACAATCTTGGCTGAACCACACAAATTAATAATGTACCAAGATACAATGAGGCCATGTTAATAAACAGAATCCTGTTTACATACATTGTAAGTCAACAGAGTGTAAATAAATAGAACATTTAGAGAAGACTTTGTTTACTAGTCAGATAAATAAAAATGGTTGAATTGTAATTTAGGCCAAGCAATTGTTTTTTCCTAAGCAATAGCATTATTTATGAATAATGTACTTAGTTACAGGAAATAAGTTCTAAGATAAGAAAATGTATGATTTCACCATTTTTTCATAACATGCAATGTTGTTCTCAAGTCACATGTAATAAGTAAAATTTAATAGAAATTATGCCTCATATCAGACTAGTTATTTACTATATTATAACATGTAATGTATCAGTACTTGTATCTTGTATATTTAAAAAAATACGATGGAAAAGGAAAACCAATAGTTTATTTGTCATAAAAGTGTCATCTCTGCATCACCCAAGGCTCGACTGGTAGAAAATGCCTAAGGCATTAAGTCCGCCTATGTACCCATTGTGCATGAAGTTTTAATAAATAAATAAATAAAGTGTATTGCTACAGAAGGTTTTAGCAAAAGGGGGAATTTTTAAGTTGAATGAGGCATGAGCCAAATAATTTTAAATAAAATCCTGTGGTATATAAGAAATTGCATTATGGACATTGATCAGGGGGTCATCTGCATAAGTATGAGCAGCTTTTGTAACATTTTAATAGGAAACAAAGGCTGGCAAAAAAACACTATGTATACATAACTTTTGTTAAGAATTCTTGTGTTTATAATGTTTATTAATACTGGTGGACTTTGACCATTTATGAAAAATAATATAAATATGATGTATGGACCTCAGTGCAATGCTATAAAAAAATGAAATTCACTCCTCCATAATAAATGTTCACAGCTATTTTATAAATGTAGGTATGTGTGTCATCTTTCTCTTTAGAACTACCTCACACAATGTGATAAAAGTATTTTTTTTTGTTTACAATTCAACTTTATTTTTATAGATCTTGAAATCTTGGTCTAAGATATGTAATTGATGGAGCATTAATTAAGACAGTAAAAAACTATTTTCTACTGGTTCCAGTTAGTTGTTATGTTGTTCAATCACCATTACAATTCGCCTACATACGAAGTGGGACAATATTGTTGCAAAAAACAAAACCCAATAGTATGCTATGGAAACCTCCACATATTTGTGCTACAAATCGTAAATTATTACGGAACTCGAAAATTGGAGGTCACACGTCTTGACATTTTCTTGTTTGGTGTTTAATACTAAGTGAAGGGCGATACGTTTACTGACGCACTAAATAACAGTATTGCAATTCCTTGTACCAGCGATTATCGATTCTAATATTTAAGATGATAGAGTGCATGCTATATTTACCTGATTTTGGATTAACAACGTCTCTAAAATACTGTTTTCCTTTTGTTAACAGATGTCATTCGTAATCAACACTCTGCGCATATTGTACACATAATCACGTAGATTTCCTACACAACAATGTTCACGCAAAGTATCTTGATACAAAACGAACACAAACGTATATTTAACAAAACACTGCAAAAACAACAATTTCACTTTGCTTGCTTTCCCATCATTCACTTTGCTCAACACTTGCACAAATTCGTGATTCATTTTCTGCAACTCGGGTTGAACCGAAGAGCGCGCGCGGTGGCGAGCGGGGCGGGTAGGTTGCCAGACCGCCGCGCGCCGCTCGGCTCGACTCGACGCCGCCGCCCGCTCGCCGCCTAGCCCGCGATTCGCTAGGCCCGAACGACACCGAGCGAGCCCGAGTCAGCACGAACAACGAAACGTAGTCGCGGCGTCCGAGCCGCGAGCCGCGAGTGAAAGAGATAGTTCTCGTCTTCGGCGAACAAATGACAGAGTTTTAACACAAAAGATTAGATATTTGTTTTGTTTACGTTTTTGTTATTACTACTTAGTTCGTAATTTATCGTTTTGTTGCGATATTATTAGTTTATTAAGTTTTGTTTGTCTGATTAATAACTTTAGAATGGCTCCAGGAAACAGGAAAAGTGTGGCGTGGAAGTTTTTTTCGAAAATAGACAATAATACTAAAGTACAATGCAATTTGTGTTCTAGTCAATACAAATTTAGTGGAAATACGAGTACCTTGTTCGTGATTGTCTTCGTGACGAATTGACGTTTGGTTCAGTTGATTTTTTCCTACTACCAAACTTACCAACTTACTAAAACTGGAGAGATTTTTTGCACATGCAACATTATCAACAATTAAATTTCAGGACGTTTTACCATGGGAGAAGTAGTATCGTTATCATATTTTTGAAAACGAATAAGTTTATTTTTACGTATAATAATTATATTGCACGTCAAAGTAAAATTATTAATCAAAATTTAATCAATGTTTAGTTTATTTCATTGTGTGCATCAACCTAAGTGCAATATATAAGGGCGTACAATATTATTTAAAATTGCTGTAGGTAGCTGCAATTTTACAACTAATTATTTTCTTAAACATTTCATTGCTTAGAAATTGATCCTTTACGTTTATGGTAAGGTAGTTTTAGGATGTTCGACTTCTGGCAACATATTAATCCATCATAGACAATTAACAAAAATGAAAATGTCCGTCGTGAAAGATACGCTCTAATTTATTTTGTGACTATTTAATATTCGTGGCTTGCGATGTGAATATTTTGTAGTATTTATATTCTTATAAGTGCATATAATCCACCAAGATGATTGTTCAAGAACCTATACAGGTGAGTAAGAGACTGAACTCCGATAACTGTCAAATGAAGTATTTTCGTAGAGAGACGTTTCAATTCGTTTTAAATTCCCACAGGTTATCGTTTGGGATTGTCTCAATAATTATGAATACGACAATGCTATATTTCTGGCTGAGAGACTACACGCTGAAGGTAAACATATAACATCTCTTTAAAGTAAAATTTGCGAAATTAAATCATTGTTTAACACCTGCATATAAGTTGCTGTTATTGATTTTTACGTAATTCATGATTTCGTTATTAATTATGCACTTACATACCGTGTCTTATCATCAACGTTGAAATTTCTGTTTCAGTTGCATCGGAGGAAACTGCTTTTTTATTGGGGACTTGTTATTATAGAGCTGGAAAAATAAATGAGGCTCAATACTTGTTGCAAAACATGTCATTGACATTACCACAAGCCAGATTCCTATTAGCTAAATGTTTCTTGGAGTTAAAATCGTAAGTAAAAGTTTAAAATATAAAACAATTCAATTTGCAATAATGTTCTTACTACATTCAGTAATTTGTTATTTCAGATTTAAGGATGCTGAACTTACGCTTGGAAATAATTTAGATATTGTTGCATCTGAATTTGGCGAACAAGCACCATATGCATTACAACTTCTGGGCAAAATATACAATCTCACTGAAAGAAGAAGCAAAGCAGTAGAAGCTCATAGAAAAGCACTTTCATTGAACCCATTTATGTGGAAATCATTTGCACAGCTGTGTAATATGGGTGAGAAAGTTGACCCTCACCAAGTATTCCAAATGAACAATACTGACTTTACATTTGGTGTAACTACATTAGTGAATCTAGTCAGCAATTCAGAAAACATTTCATTTGTTAATAGTAACAACATTCCTAATAATACTGCTATGAATACCAATGTCACACCTAACAATGTGGCTACAAGAACCCCTATGACAATGTCCACTAGTATCACACCTGAGACTCAAGCTCCTGTAAAGAGAATGCATAGTGTGTTCAGTGGCATGGCACCCATTCCCTTTTCCCCTTCTTTTGGAATGCTACCGATGGAAGAATCTCCTGTATTATATACACCAACTCTAACAGACTCAAATGAGCAGAAAGCCATACCTAAGATAGTAAACTCATTACGAGCACAAATGGGACAGTTAAAAGATGCAGTATTCAGTCCAGCCCCTAGATGTACTCTCGGACCAGCTCCACGGCGGTCATCTAGATTATTTAGTAATAATAACAGCAGTTACTCAGTAAAAGAAAATAATAAATCACCAAGTAGAAAATTTGTAGCTCCTAAAAGTCCTTCAAGAAAAAATAAGCAGCGTACAGCCAAAAATATCAAAAGTAATACAGTAGAAGCTAATGAAAGGAATAATAAAAGTGTAGAGACAGTTACACCAACAATACCACCAAAGAATTCCAACGGTGTTGCATTGTTAAATTTAATGCGAGATTTGGGAGAAGCCTACAAGTCACTGGCATTCTTAGACTGCAAAACTGCAATTAAATTATTCCAAGAAACATCACCAAAACAGCTAGCATCTCCCTGGGTTCAGACTATGATAGCAAAAGCCCATTATGAACTGGCTCAATATGAGGCAGCTGCAAAAATTTTTGCTGAAATTAGAAAACAATATCCAAATCGTACAGAGGGGATGGATATTTATAGTACCTGTTTATGGCATTTGCAACGGGAAGCACAATTATCAGCATTATCTCAAGAACTAGTAGAATTGGATAGGAAAGACCCAATAGCTTGGCTTGCTGCTGGTAATTGCTTTTCTCTTCATAAAGAAAGAGAAACTGCATTAAAATTCTTCAAACGAGCTGTTCAACTAAATCCTGAAGCAGCTTATGCTCATGCTTTGTTAGGACACGAGTATGCAGTTGCTGAGGAGACAGACAAGGCTCTTTCTAGCTTCAGAGCAGCAGTAGCAATTGACCCACGTAATTACGTTGCGTGGTTTGGGATTGCTACAGTATATGCGCGACAAGAACGGTGGAAGCCTTCTGAAGTGCACATTCGACGAGCTTTAACAATACATCCTCATTCAGGAGTCTTGAGGTGCCAATTAGGATTAGCACAAGCAGCTCTGGGCAAAATGGACAGAGCTCTTGCTACTTTAGAAAGGGCTGTTGCTTTAGACACAGAGAATCCTTTATGTCGTTTCCACAGAGCTTCTGTTTTATTACGGGCTGGTAAACCAGAAGAAGCTTTAGCAGATCTGCACCATTTGAAAGATATTGCGCCAAGAGAATCATTAGTATATTATTTACTTGGAAAAGTTCATAATAAGTTAGGCAATTCCCATTTAGCATTGATGCACTTTAGCTGGGCTACAGACTTAGATCCCAAAGGCACGGGAGGACACATAAAAGAAGGCTTTGATCCATCTAAACAAGAAGACCCACCAGAGAGGTCAACCTAATTGGTATGACGACTTAAAAGGATTTAAAGGATTGCAGAATAGCCTGCACTGTTGTGGTTGGCAATGCAGTCAATACCTGACTGATCCCATGTAAATATCGCTCTCACCCGTCGAGCTCTTACTGACACCAAATTCTTCCAACAAAGCTTTATGGGGTTTGATGGGTGTGTGGTGGCATTTAGTCGCTATAGTAATAAGGGCGTATGTGGATATGTTTATATAGAGTAAGATGTGGATATTCGTAATGTTATCCTAGTTTATTATATATCTTGTATAGCTTATAACTTTTAGAAAGATGAAAGAATATAATTTTTAAAAAGATGATGCTTTTGAAAGTTAAATAAGACTCAGAGCCTTGATCTCAATGGGATGGTATAAATAATAATCATATAATATAGAGCCATTAAATAATTGAAGTTGCAAATTCTTACAATGCCATAATTATGAATTCCTGAAATCTAAATCTACTAATTGTTGTCCTCATATTTGTATATAAAATCATGCCTTTCTGTGTTGTACCTAGTGAACAACTAACGGATGTACCTAAACAATTTAAAAATCATGTAAACAATATTTAAAGACCTTGCATGAAGGTTTTATTTTGTATGACAGATAGCTTTGGATGTTAGTTAGGCTGGGGTCATAGAAAAGCATTGAAAATGAGAATCGTAAAACGGGGTGAAGGGTGGTGATTGGCGAATTTTCCTTTTATCTATTCACCCTGTTTTACTGAACCAATCAAAATTTTTGTAATCAGCTCCTGCTTCAGTAATCCTGGATCTTATTTCTTAGCATCAATGGAAACTGTTTCGTGTGTATGTACATAATAAAACATTAACTTTATAGCACCATTGTCATTTGACATCACCAATGAACTGCTAGCAATGTGGACAATCTTGTTTAGACCACCTAATGTATGAATTTAATAAATAAAACTGATGTAACTTATGGTCGAGTTTTATTGTCAGTAAATGCTAAAAAATACATTATGTCAATTGCATCTACTGAGGTAAGCTGAATTTCGCGCAACTTGCATGTGCATGTACAAATGCAATACAAAATATTTTTTATAAGTTTGATAAAGTTACATAAACCCACTGAAGAAAAATAAATGCTTTCTTGTCTGTATTGGCCTTAGCCTCTTTGCAGCGTTGACATATTGTTTCGCTTTACATTTAACTCTATTTTCTAACAGAGTAAAAAATCATATTTTTGTTGAAGTAACATTATACTGGAAGTATCTTTTTCGGTTTATAAATCTTCTTAATTACACACATTTTCCTGAACTATATATAAAGTCACGAGCTAGTCAGAAACAGCACAGTATAGATTCTTGAAGCACAATCAGAGTCACAATGTTTATGTAAACTTTTGTAATATTGAATCTAGTGCTTTTCTAACAGTGGGATCACTTAGCAGTTTATTCTGTGGGGTAGGTGGTGCGGGGGCTGGCGGAGTTGGGGCCGCGGGCGGCGGTTGTTCCACCGGTGCCGGTGGTATTACTTTCTTTTCATTCAGTATACTAAGAATTCTCTGTTGGAGATCTACTTGTGTTTTGTTAGCAGGAGCCGGATTCAATGGCTCCCCAAGCTCTATTTTTACTTGCTGTTCTCTGCGTTCCTGTAAAATTCAAAATTACGTCAGATAATATTTGTCGGCGGAGTCGTGCTTCGATCGTGCGAAACGTCAGGCTATGACATGGGGCTGTCATCGCTTGGGATTGGTCTGTGCTTGGTTTAAAAATGGGATTTTTGGTGTTGTGAGCCGCCAGACTGAATGCAGGCAAGAACAAAACTCTCCACGTTTTTTATTGCAGACGGATTGCAATAAAAAACGTGGAGAGTAGTACATAGATAGTAATAGTTACCGTGTTTCGTGTACTAAGTAAACCGTTTGAAGAAGTTGTTTGTCATCAATCTGCGAGTTTATTCCGAAGAAGATGAAACAAACACGATCCCCCTCGTCCCTCCGTCATATTAAAGACTATAGTTGAATATACATTTTAAAAGATTTAGTTTCACAAAAAATATATATCTATGTAATAATAAAACATGGAATTGGGGGAATACAAACCTGTAGGTATTCTATGACTTTATCGTACTGCAAGACCGTTAGGGTGCGTCCGTCAGCGAGTTGGCCGAGTAACGCGTACACTGCTTCCCTACCAGAGGGACCACCTCTCTGCACTTCTTGAAAGTTGCGGGATAAAAGCTGAAGGGAATCCTCCAGTGGCATATTTCGATGTTCTATTAGAAAAAGACATAGTATAAAATTATAATACTTAATTGTAATTTACTAGAATATTAATATTGAATTGAAGTACTGTAGGCTCAATTCCTCACCCTCCATCTTCAAATGCCCAAAAGGAACGCTTTAACATCTCTGGTTTAGCGTATGTCCATGCCACCCGTCCGTAAGCTAGTTTGTCACTGTATCCCAATAAAAAATATTTAAATGGCTCACCTTGAGGTAGTCCATGAAGTATTGTAAGTGTTAAGGACCTATTTTCTTGATTTTGTGGCATTACTAATATTGCGTACAGACAGCCGCGGGACGCAATGTTGCCCAGCACTTTGCCAATCGGAACATCTTCCATGGGAAACAGAAGATCAACCACAATCCCTAGCCTTTTGAGGCGACCTTCAATGTATTCTGCATATTCGCTATAAACAAAATAATTATAAATATTAACACACGTGTTATAAGAAACAATACAACATATTTTGGACTTTCGATAACAGACCTAGAAGTAGAAACGTTATAATAAATCCCGATTCGATCTACACAATGACTAGTAACGATATTATTTTCACTTTTTTAAGCTCGTAATAATGGAATGTTATTGTAAAGTAATACTAAGTAAATAAATCCTACTATCCGGCTAAAAGGTTTGATAAAATATTAATGTCTTTCGATTAAAGCATTGAAGACCAGATAAGATTTAATTAATAGGTAGGTACTTACGTAAGAGATTTTGAGACGACGATGATTTCACAATCATTTCTCTCCGTGACAGGTACCGCTCTAGGATAATCTGACATTTGTTGATAGCGATCGTAACTACTGCGATCTTTCCATTCACCAGCTGAAGAGAAAACAAAATAAATTAAATCACTAAACACTAGACATAGACACGTCTAGCATCAAAATAAAGAGACGTTAAAACATCAATTGAATGAATAACAAACTAAAAATAAAAATCAATTGTGGTGAACGTTTTTTGTACGAGTTGCGCAATTTGATATATCCAGAATGCCAGTATGCCACTTAACCTCATGTGTTTAGTATATATACTATATACATTCACAGTAGGTATACACATATGCAAAACAATGTTTACATATCAGGGATATCAAATGACTAATAAATTCAGGGTTGTTCCTAGCATTACGTTATCAGAAAGAAGCTCCAAGTCCGTTTCTTTTTTAAACGGTTTTATTTACCCGTTGGGTATTCGTTTGTTTGGGTCAAAATTAAAAATTGTAATTTTAAATAATTAAAGATAACTTTAGTGCATAGAGGGATAATTGCCGGCTGATGTCCCATTTCACTTATATTAAAGTTGTTCAAAGGGCCTCTGCGATGTGGCTTGGGCTCCTCGTACGCCTTCCAAAAGTCCGGGACCCTGTGGTCCCGTGGGTGGAAAGAAAGATAACTTTTAGCTCTAGTTCGTATATAAATATTAGTTTCAATGTTACCCCCATTTTATTTGGGAGCATAGGCTTAATACTTTTACAAAGTTAATAATTTCTGTACCCTCCAGGATATCACACACTTAAGTCTTAAAATCACCATTTAAGTATTTTATTAATGTGTAATGTCCAGCACCAGTAAAATGAGAAACCTACCTACTTAGAAAAAAATGGGTATGTGGTCGAAATAGGTACGATTTTTTTGGGGTACCTACTTGAAATAGTCTGAAATTATGTACTCAACACCACAATATAAAATCTTTGTTTAATTAAAACTGAAAAGTTGATTTAATATTGATGAATATGTAAAATATGTACATATATGGAATGCATGAAAAAGCAAGATAAGCAAGGGGGTTCGAAAATATGGTCCCACATCATATACCCACATAACAAGAATAGAATAGGATCAGGAATAAGTGACAGTATTATGTCAATTTTCAAAAGTAAAAGACACCCCCTGGCACAGTCATCGAAATGCTTAAAAGGGGATGCCACCGACTGTTTAACAATGTAATTCGTGTAATAAGGAAATAAATCGTATTTTTATTAAAAAAAAAATATGGTCTTGTGTAAGTGAATACCTATGTAATTCTTTATGGCAAATAAAGTTTCTTAAACCTGTATCATAAACAGCTTGATTAGTAGGTATGTGCATGATGTGCCTTGAAATTTACAACCAATTGTAACACAAACTCTCTGGATAATTTATACTCACTCCATAAAAATGGAAATTAATGAAATATGAATGATAATTAACCTTATTTTTTTTTATAATAACTATCGTGTTCTTTTTGGCATATTATTGTTGAACTCATGGGTGAAGACACTGGCCCTTGTAATACAGTGTAAACTAGTTCAGGGTCAGGGAATTCTGCTTGTCTGTGTAATTTTTTTTTTTTGTCAATAAAGAATTATTATTATTATTTATGTACGTTCTTTTCCGTTCACGGGATCACAGGATTCCGGACCTTTGGAAGGCGTACGAGGGGCCGAAGCCAACTCGCAGAGGCCCGTTGAACAACTTTAATTTAAGTAAAATGGGACATCAGCCGGCAATTATCCCTGTATGCACTATGAAAGTGCACCCAAGGATAATCCCCGGTTGATGCAGGACTATTGCGAAATGTGGTAAAAATTGAAAGGGTTATGGGTATGGGATGCTATGGACTGGTGGATATGATAACTATGGAACTACTATGGCCCCTGCCCCTGACCAATATTGATACATACGGATAAACAGGCAGGGGGTGACTGGCAAACTCAATTAATGGGCCCCCTGAAACGGCCGCTAGCATGTAGCGACACGGAGGCAACATACGTTGAGCTGCTTGGGGAAGGAGAGGCATCCCACGGCTATCAGAGCAATCCCGGAAGTACGGTCAAGACCCCTACCAGCACCTTACTGAGATACATCCTTCCCCCGAGTCTCCTTCAACTCCCACTCTTATTATTAAATTTTAATTTTACCTTAAAGAAAAAAAACCAACCTCTACCTGAGATCGGCGAGCGATCCCTAAAGCCGGGGGGAGCTCCACGGCCGCGGCCACGTCCACGTCCTCTTGGGCCACCTCGGCCACGCATTCCTCCTCGCCCCTCCCAACCAGGTTTACCCGGGTAACCATCATCATATTCCTCATCTCTATAACCTGAAACATAATAAAATAATTTATATGCATTAGTTACTCATTATGATGGTCATAATCAACCTCTTCATAAAAGCAACTTCCTAATAAACAAGAAGTTGTCCAGTCTTTGGGCTTCAACTACATAAGAGAGGTTCAACATAATCTCCAATCATCTACGGGAAGCAAATAAAGTGATGACAGTGTTTTCTTCTCTGCCATCAAATATTACCACTTGGTTATTCTATATGTTGATAGAGATTGGGCATTAAGACCATAACTAGGTACCAAGGATTTGAAATAGATTTTTATAAATATATTTTGTTCTCTTTTAGCCAAAACACACTTACTCTGATCTCCAATATAATTCCCGAAATTATCATATAACTCTTCATTGCCATCATCAGCGCCCATTAAGGGGGGTTTATCATTATGATGAGCCACTGCTGGAGGCATATCAGATGCTGCCGATTCAATATGCCTGAAAAAATAATATAACTATTATTGTAAATTGTTGTGTGATGTCGCGAGGTTGAATTTGTTCTTGCCCTTACATTTGAAATTAACTCAATCTAAAAGACTAAGCAGTGTACTTAGTCATGTGGAAACATTTGCACAGGGTTGGCATTAAATTTTTACACTAAAAGTTGCTTACACACACCAAAGTACCTTATGCAACTTTTGATTTAATTTAATGTTAAACATTTTAGTATCCTTGCTTATACTTGATATAACATTCACTTGTATTTGAACCACACACACCTGTGCCAGGAGAGGCCGCTTTCCTTTATTTTGATTACATTTATGATGATGAATGTATTTATATGTAAAAATAGGTGTTTAACTTGATTTCACTGTCAAATCATGATCTTACTCAATAAAACTTAACTAAATTCTATGTAAACCAAGCCAAAGGCAAGAAGAAAGCCTTTAAAAAATTGTTGATAATGTACAGATACATATATGTATAATAATATGAATTCAGTCTGATTTCATTTTAATAGAGGAGACTGCATTAATCATACTTGTTATTGAAGGTCTAGCAGATATTTACATTTGTGATGACTAAGTATGAAATAGATGGAAAAATTGTCTCACCCCAGACATATATGGGACTCCTAAAATAACTGATTGACTTGCGCATAAGAAAAGTTTCATATTTTAGGAGTTAAAATGATCAAGTGAGTTCTCCCACTCTGGCAAGGAGAGAGGGAATGTTCTGGCTCTTATTAACTAAAATCTACAATGTTCTCTCTCCTGCAAAGAGCCATTAAATCAGTGCTTGCAACCGCAACCCTGACTAGACATTGGCTCTCCTTGAGACCTGATATTCTGGTTTAACCAAGTGTAGTTCATTTATTTGAATAAAACATTTGATAAGAATTTAGAAGCTGGATGGGCCCTATAGTTTGGAGATATATACTACCTCTTGTCCATAGCATTAGTGTTTGTTTGTGCAGTTTTCACACTAAGAGTCCTCCCCTGGAAAACAGTTCCATTTGCTTTGAGGATAGCCTCCTGGGCACTTGATTCTTCAGCAAACTGAACAAATCCAAAGTTCCTATTGATAACAATGCCATGAATTTCACCATATTGTATGAAATGGTTGTACAACTCGTCCATAGAAACACCGTCTTGTAAACCACCGACGAAAATACGAAGATGGGATGTTGCAGGGTTTTTCATAGCTAGTCTACCTAGGGGTAATTTGTCTGAAAAGAATATAATTTCAAATAAGATCATAATAACTCAATTGTAGTGTATATACGCTGTTAAAGAGTATTTGTTATACACATTATTTTGAGTTTCTTTGGAATAAACAAGCTGAGAAAGTGTATCGTGTCATTCGAATAATCATAACGATGTAATAAGTTATTAATATACAGTCTGTTTCATTGTTTACCTGCCATCGTTAGACTCAAAATCTTTATTAGTAGTTACAATAATTATATTCGTTTTCAGCAAGACGCGCTTTTACGGATGAAAATACAAAATCCACAGATAAGTAATTAATTTCCAATCCACAGATTTCGGTGGGATGTTCCAAAGAGTATGTAACTATGGATGTAACTATGCACTATGGATGTCCTTATCATCCATAGAAAAACAACTCTTTTTTTCTATTTTATTGCTTAAACCATAGACAATTCAAATTCGTCGAATTTTTTATGAATTTTTATGTTGAAATATCTTAATATTATTAACGAGTTTTTCTATTAAAATTAATCCAAAATATCATTTTGAATAAAACAAGCATGCAAAGGGGCACGCAAGGGGCGTGCCCCATCCATGTATAAGGCTCGCCTTCTATTACCCCTACATACAAACTTACAATACCTTTTTATAATATTAGCATACATTAAACAAGCAACCTTTATTTTAATCGTGATAATGGGATACAGATCAATTATTCGTAATTATTGAGTCAAGTAAAAGATGATCAAGTTGCCCTTCCGATATCTAGCGTAGGTGAAGCGAATATGCACCGCTTGGGTTATTATTTATTAGACGACACACTTCAGATATTATTATTTTTGTGTAAAAGAAACAAATATATTTTATGTTGAGTTTGTTAATCTGTACAAACCAAATATAATTATATTATCAAAATAAAATTAAAAATCCTAAATAAAAAAATACATACAGTATTTTTTTTTATTTGATGTAAATATACGGATCTTACAATAAAAGCAAGTACAGTAGCATGGCAACACAGTTCAACATTGACAATAATGACATTGCTTAATAGACTTGTATCCAGGCCATAAACTCCAAAAAAAAAAACAATAATGACCTGAATCTATGGTCATGAATAAAGTTTAAAAAAAGATTACGATAATGACAGTATTGACAGAAGTCCTTTGACAGCATGGTTTTTTGGGTAATGTTTGAATTTATTGAGGTTAGAATTTTCATGGAAAATCGAGTGATTTTATTTGAACAGCGTTATATAATATAAAAATGGACAAAATTTATAGTGAATAATTTATTTAAAACTGCTATGGACAACATATAAATTTGATATTCTATTTAGGTACCTTCATTATTAATTAATGTAAGTATTTTTATTTAAATTTAATTTACTCATATTTATATTAATCCTTTAATATAAAAAAGCTGTAAATAAATGGTCGAATAATTGTGATAAACAGAATTGTGTTGATATAATAATTACTACTTAATTTCAAAAAAATGCCTAATTTGAATTAGCCAAAAATAAACTGCACCGATACGTAATATCTTGTACGAACAAGTGATTTAATATAGGTATCATATTATTAGTCTATGTAGGTATCTACATTATATTTGTTTTTTATTTTTTACGTTTTTCTTTTTGCAAAGGTAGTCTTTTTGTTTTTTAAATATTTCTAATGGAGTAAAAGTACCTATAACCTGATATTCCTTAGATAGGTAAATTATCTTAGATAGGTAAATTAACTTATAGTGAGGTTCTAATCTGGTCACAGTGCTTGAATTATGTTAGAAAATAAGATTAAAAAAAAGATAAACCCTTTTCTTAAATAGTCTGTTTGTGACCTACATTCTATAAAAAGCTACCTTTTCACTTACAAGGGGTTTATTTTTTGCTGTATAAGGCTAGAAAAATCAAAAGCACTCATTGCACATGTTCTAAATAATTAGAGCTCTACAATATCCATATCTCTATTCATCTCAAATCTCAAGAATGTTACATTTAAATAAACATTATCATTACTTAATAGAGCAACTACTTAATTTGTTCTAGATTTTGCCCTAGCAATGGTAATGAGAAGAGCGTTGTCCACAGCTTACAAATCCTATAAAAGCGCAATAGACAATGCATTTAGTCCCAAGAATCTATTATATACAAATGTTATGATATCTATGGGATCATCAAGTTGCGGAGATTTGTTACAGCAATCATACGAAATCGTTAGAAAGAATCTTGTACAATATGATTTCCAAAGATCCACCCAAATGGCAGTCTCAGGTTTTACTTCAGGTGTCATTTGTCACCATTGGTACATTATCTTAGATAGATTTATAGTTGGTAGATCACTCTATATGGTAATAAAAAAACTGTTACTTGATCAGTGTATCTGCTCTCCAATAGTAATATTATCATTCTTTGCCACTGTAGCATTGTTTGAAGATGATCCTTTTGATAACTTCACTAGTGAAGTCTCCCAAAAGTTCTGGACTCTGTACAAAGCTGAGTGGATTGTGTGGCCACCAGCACAGATTATAAACTTTTATTTTTTACCAACAAAGTATAGAGTAGCATATGATAACACAATATCATTTGGCTATGATATCTATACTTCTCATGTTAAACATTCAAAGATTAAAGCTACTGAGAAAGAAAATGTACAAAGAAATGATAATGAATGAGAAAATTAAGTAGGTATTGGTTAGAATGAATGTATGCAATGTATTTTTTATTTTCGTGGCATATTGTTTTTCTATTATTGATTTAATAATAAACAGCTTTTATTCATGTCATAATCTGTTTTATTCGAATTAGGTACAAAAAAGTAAGTTAAAAATGTAGTTATAGTTATAGTTGGTCTCTGTTGACATTCTTTTCACATTGCATGAGCAGCTGATACAGTTAAATTTTTTATGTCCAAAATACTTACTATATTGTAGAATTCTAATTATCAAATCTCTCAGTTTATCCAAACACTGGCAGCCAAATATCAGAACAAATGAATTACGAGTTCTGTACTAAAGAAGATCTACTTATTAGGTTCAAAAAGTATTCAGAAGTAATGTGATATTATTAACTGTGCAGTAACCACTTTGGCAAAAAATGTAAAAGGCACTAGATGTAGTTTAAATAAACACTGGCTGACATAGCTTAAAAGATTAATTTTTAGGCCTTTTTCTGGACCATGTAAATGGTATAACAGAAAATATTAAAAACTAATTTGTTTGGTGGTGGTTCACTTGCTATAAAACATAAAATATTGTTCTTGTATGACACCTGTATTGTAGGAAAACATATTTATTTATTGAAAATATACTAACGTGAATTAACTGAGAAGAGCACAACTAGTTTCAAATCATCATGGGACTTATTAATAAGTAGTGTAGAGTAGTGTTGGCATCGCGGCGACGTCGCGCATCCTTTTAAGCCAACTAGTTGAGCTTTTTCAGTTACTTCACCTCATATTTGAACAGAATGATAAAAAATATATTTTATTGATAGCTAAATTAAAAAGCAGGCATGTGATCTATGTGGTTGGCTTGACACATTCTGTAACGTTAACAGTTACATCATGCATTACAGTTTAAACAATTAGGCATATATAATTGAAAACACCATGTTTTATTTACAGATAATGAAAATACTAGTCTCCACATGGAGAACTATAGCAGCCAATGTAAGAAGAACAACAGCTATACCGAAAGTTAAAAGTTTCATGAAAGTAGCATTTAGTGACAAATATTTATTTTATACAAATGTAACCATATCACTGAGCCTATCGTCAGTAGGCGATTTGATGGAACAGAGTTATGAAATTTATATTAAGGAACAAACTCATTACGACTTCAAGAGATGTGCGCACATGGCATTCTCAGGAGTAGCATTGGGGATTCTATGCCACCACTGGTACAAAGTATTAGATAAATTTATAGTAGGCAAGACTGTGGATATGGTTATAAAGAAACTGGTGCTAGATCAATTCATATTCTCACCTGTTATGATAGTCACGCTGTTCGGAAGTCTGGCCCTATTCGAAGAGAATCCTTACGAGAACTTCAAGGAGGAAGTGAGAGACAAGTTCGTGAAGTTGTACCGTGCCGAGTGGATGGTGTGGCCGCCAGCACAAATCATCAACTTCTACTTCCTACCAACCAAGTACAGAGTACTGTACGACAACACCATATCATTAGGATACGACGTATACACATCACAAGTTAAGCATTCGAAGCCTGCGAAAGCTTTACTAGAAGACAAGATTAAACATCACTCATCTTGACGAAGGCTGTTGAGTTCAAGTATCAATCATAATAAGTAGGTAGTAAGAATTAAAAAAAAATTAGTTTTGAAATGGCACTTATTGTCAATAATTTATTGTAATTACTACAATGTGTAGTCTTGTCAGTTTTTTGTAAACACCTCGAGACATAAGCTTTGCTGTGATAAAACGTTACCTACGTGCAAAAATAGGTACTTATAATGTAATTAATGATCAATTACCTATGTTAAATATATTTTTCTTATACAGTAATTTATTGAATAGGTACAAAATAAATACTTGACGTAATGGATTTTGGTGTTTTTAGATTACTCTCTTCCAACTACCCCGTAGGGACACTCTTGCACACTACCAAGTATACACTTAACTCTTGACCTTCCTGCAATGGGTCCTGCTCACATAAAGACACACAGGTAAACAAGCAAAAGATGGATCTGGATATGCTCCCATATTTTGCTTGTATACCTATCATATCATATCATTTTATTTACCTACCTAACTATTGTTGTTTTCAAGTGCAATACAGACAAGTCTAAAGTACCAACCCGTTATCAAAATAAAATTATCATATTTTCAAAGATTTTTAATGAAAGATGTCTTTTTGTGTAGATTAAATTATTTCGAATACTTAATCTACTTTGGTGTCATAAACGCTTCTTCCATTTGCGAGCTTCTCTTGCTAGTTCTTAAACTGCTAATGACGCTACGAACCACCGAGTCTTCGTAGATTCTTTCGGGCCACGACTCTGTTTGCCTGCTGTAGCCGTGCCCAATGCCTTCCGGCACAGTTCTTGGAATACGACTGGATCGCGGAGTGCCACGATGAGAAATAAAGGATCTGCCTCGTTTACTCTCCTTCAAGCCCAGTAGTGATGTCAGTAACTTGTCTAGTGCAGCTATGTCATCTACATTGGAAGGTCCAGTAGTCCTAGGTCCAGTAGGAGTGCTGACTCCAGAATTGAGTTGGCTTGATAACAAGGAAATAGGTGTTCTAGACAGCCCAATAGTGCGGAAAACCTAAAATGTTAACACAAATTTAGAACCGCCGGTGGTTTTCCCGTTAGATCAATTTGAACCTGCGTAGGGAGGTGTTATTAGATACTGATTATGAGCTCACGATCGCGATGTTAAGTTCGTGACTATCATTATAAAGTAAGGAATCTTTTTTTAAGCAATTTAAATATGTCATTAATATTTTATAAGGTCACGCGTCTGAGAGATAATGATCTAAGTAATTGGATTGAAAATCCTTGAAGTCTATACCTATTACTTATACATGAATTTAGTTAAAACTGGTATTTTTCGTCATGCTGTACTTATTTACATACCGAGCTACTATTTTATTTCCTATTATCTTAACATACAAATGAGCACACTCCCGATAAATTCATGTTGTTTTAAACTTATCTCCGAAGGTTAGGCATCACGCGCCATTTTGATAAAATCAGCTGTGCCAATGGGTAGGTAGTAGGTAGGTATATTTCACGCAAAATGTTTTAAAAAGTAATTAGTTTTAAATACCTCATCAGCATTATGACTCTGGTAACTCATTCTCTTCACTTTCCTATAAGTTTCATCATCTAAAGCCTCTTCCACAGCGGCCTCTAGCTTTTCCCTGATAGCTTCGTCATTTTCTTGGTTGAGATCTTCTAGCACCAACCTAAGATAAATTATCTAGGTAAGTTAGATATCTATTAACTAGTATTAACGGTTAACAAAAATATAATTTATGGCGATAGCTTGCAATTTGTAAGTCAAATACCTAGGTACCTTCTTTTGCTTGTTTTGTAGATAGCTAATTATGTAAGAAGTTTACTTAAGTAGGTAGGTAGGTAGACAGACACATTTGGGAATCGAACATCCTACCCTACCACTGAATGGCTAACGATTTCCGTCAGATGCTAAATCTACTTTCTGTGTAGTTTCAGTTCGGTCCTATGATGATTTGAATTGAACACATAAAAATATTAAGTAGCTAGTAATTAAACTTTATCGTTTACAAACAAAACACATGATCATACATAAACATCATGCCCAGTCACCGACCACAACAAAATTACAAAAAAGAAAACAAAATTTTGGAATTGTTTTGTGCGGGAATCGAGCCCTGAAACTGTGTTGCTGCTATTTGATATCTATGCTATTCAATCAACACCGGTTCAAGTTGTGCTCAAGATACTATTAATATTTACTTACGTCATTTACATCATCATAAGGTTACAAAATATTAGCACTATAGCAAATTCATGTGATAAGATAGTGTGATGTGATATCTATACATGCTGTCATAGGTACGTAGACCTTTTCAGTAACAATTAGGTAATCAAATCATATAGTCGTTTAAGGCACTTCTATGGATTTTTAACGTGCGATAGTTTAAAAAGTATTTTTTTATAATATAGGTCGGAAAATGAGCAGACGGATGACCCGATGGTAAGCAATCAGCGCCGCCAAAGGACACTCGTAGCTCCAAAGGAGTGCGTTGCCGGCCTCTGGTGGATTACTTATTAGGGATTTAAGGGTAGGGGGTATTCGTGGTAGCCCGGAGGTTAAGGAGCCCGCTTCTCATGCATGAAAGTGTGGGTTCGAATCCTGGCAAGTACCAATGTGACTTTTTCCGAGTTATATATGTAGGTACCTACTTTCTATGATTATTTAGACACCACTGACATACGGTGAAGGTAAACATCGTGAGGAAATCTGGACTTATAATTTCTAATTATACGTTTGAAATCGCCAACTCGCATTGAGCAAGCGTGGTGATTAATGCTCTAACCTTTTCCGTATGAGAAGAGGCCTTTGCTCAGCAGTGGGCACTTATAGGCTGATGATGATGATGATGATGACGGGTAGGGGATTTCGCAGTAGGCAACACACCGGGTGTCGGAGATCGAGAGATGAACTCCGGACACCGTAAGGGCGTGTCTGCGGACGGCGAGTAAGGGTAGCTCGCCGCCTGACCAGAACCAGACCAAAAGTCCACCACAGACGAGGCAAGCGCATTAAGGCACCGTAGCCTCGGCCTAAAGCAAGAGAAGAAATGGGGGCTTTTTAGTCAGTAAGATTCTGACACTTCCTCCGCCTGACCCTGGGCGGGAGAAGTAATTTGATGATTTTCCGCTCACAAAAAAAGGGTAGGGGGTTTACGGTTTCAACATCGGGCGAGAGGGGGGAAGAATTGGGCGAAACACAACGTAAGTGTTTCTAGCTTGACGTATGTAATACGTCATTGGCTTGACGCCGGTTTTGTCTGAGGCCGTAGTATCACTTCTGTCGAGCCGTACTCCCACAGTGAAGTAGGTAGTTGGTTTACAAAAATAACGATTTTTATGCTAGGGATGAGTCGGCTGATGGTAGGTAAACTAGTTACCTAAGTACGTAACCAATACCGCCCTTGAATATCCGTGTCACTAGAGGCGTTGTTGACGACCTAAAATAATTAGTTTTATAGGATACGGAGGCAAACGAACAGACTGATCAAGCGTAATCGATCATCGTAATCTGTGGGAGAGCCATGCTTCGGCACGAATGGGTCGGCTCGACCGGAGTGATACCACGGCCTTACAGAAAACCGGCGTGAAACAACCACAGCGTTGTGTTTCGCCGTGTGAGTGAGGTTACCGGAGGCCCAATCCTTCCCCTTCCCGGACCCTTCCCCAATCCCTAAATCTCCAAATCCCTAATCCCTAAAAGGTCGGCAACGCGCTCGTAACTCCTCCGTTGCGGGTGTCCATGGGCGGCGTTGATTGCTTACCATCAGGTAATCCGTCTGCTCGTTTGCCGACTTATTACATAAAAAAAAAAAATCACTGCCTTTCAGCATTGCATATCGATACAACTGCAGAGAATTGGTACCTAAGTGGATTGTCACCTGTTTTAGGACCCAGAAGGCCTCTCATTTGGTTTTATATTATGTACAAGTGGAGCGCTCCTGCTTCGCACCGGTATCTGACTACCCGGGTGTCAGTAATTTGTTTTATTAGCGAACTGCCACGGCACCGAAATAGTTGTTATTTCCCAACCTTCTACTCTTCTTTTATAAAACACCTTAACAAAAAAAGAATTGCTAAAATTGGTCCAAGCGCTGTTGTGTTATGCGCTTACCAACACATGTTGCTATTCAATTTTTTTTATGAAGTATAGGTTATTTTGGTACTTACTCAGCTCGCTCATCATCTTCCGCTTTATGCAGGTTAGCTCTGTTAGCATCCCTTGCGACTTTGATATCCTGCTCCCAAAAGCGTCGAAGGTCTGGACTTGAAGTGTAAGGTGCAGCTACTTCTTTAATCTTCAGGAATATTATGGCCGTTATGAATATGCAGATAACGTTCACTATTGTTAAACAGCAGCTGACGATTCCTGTGTAGAAGTCACAAAAAATATAGTAGATTAAAGTTGTCAATAGGGCCGTATTTACGCCGATGGCTACGACCCCTCATACGCTTTCCAAACCCTCAACCCTCCCCAATCCTTGAATCCCCAAAACCCCTTATCCCCATAATGTCGCCATGGCACTCGTAATACCTACCTCTGGTGTAGCGCGTGCCCATGGGCGGCGCCGATTGCTTATCACCAGATAATACGCTTGCTCGTTTGTCAGGGTATAACATAAAAACATGTTAGTCGGTATCAATACTACACATACCATTTACAGCGAACTCAATCGGAAGATAGTCGTGGTACAACGGGGTATACGATGAGTTGCCAGTGTAAGCTTCGCCTTTAATGTGTGGAATTTTGACACCTGGATACAATAGCCAGATGCAGGCTAAAGCCCAGTACAATCCCTGGAAATAAAGCGAGATATAGTTTGTTTTTCAATATAATGTAGGTAGGTATATATCCATACTTAACTATATTTGTAAACATGTTATATAAAATGTGGTGAAGTCCAGCTGCTATAGCTATAGGTACCTATATTGATAGCTTGAATAAACTGGCTTGACTGAGAAGCTTACAACCATACCTAAAGTACTGCTTGCTTGATTTATGTATGTACAGTCGGTTATAAAGTACAGGTTTTGGATAGCCACTACCTGTCTACAAATTACATTTTAAAAGGCACAGTATTTAAGTAATTTGTATAGACTATATTTTATCAGATTGTAAATGATCTAGCTTTTCATCTAAAGTAAAAAATCCCAACCGAATTCTGAAAACTTTACAGCAATACTTACACAGTTAACGACTGGTGGTAGCAAAGAAGCTGAAATAGCGATACCAATGAGTGGACCAGCACTGCCCTGAAGTAAGGCAAGAGCTACTCCTGTGCCTGACGTCAGGGCCCACAGTACGCCCATCCATAGAGATCGAACGTTGCCTCTATAAACAAAATGTTAGCAAACTTATAATTGATTCTCAGAAAATTTGCTGTTATACGAATTCTGTGCTTCATTTCAATGATCGAATTGAAAGGGTAGGTACCAACTGCTATTGATAGATATGAAAGTGGTTTCTAGGTTACTAAAGTGAAAGCGTAGACTTTTTGATTCGGCTGTTTTTCTTAGAAAATTTCATGAATAGGATAATAACCTATAGAGTACCTATAGAGTGTAGGTAGTAAAGGACCGAATGTCAAAATTTAGTACAATTTTAATTCTAAGTACCTAATTATAGATTGCTCGCATCAGGCTTTCAATTCATGCTACGAAATGGGACGATGGTTGGCGAATGGTTTACTACAAGCAATGAGGCATTGAGCATTGAAGTTTGCGTCCTAAATTGAAAAAAATATATGTAGTTAGCGATGTTTCTGAAGAATGTTTAGAAGTTTCCTAGAAAAAATCCCAAAAAAACATTGTCCTTAGTGTTGTTAAAGTCTAGTCTACTTAGTAAAAAGTGTTTCCTCGTCTTCCGTCTACGCTCTGATGATAGCCTAACAATGTGTGATGTTATATCATACAAAAAAGTATTTCAATCACTAACCGTCCCTTCATCTCTTCAGTAGGCCAATCTCCAAAACCCCAAGGCATTTCAGTGCTTCCCAAAATCAGGCCGAAAATAAACCCAAATAGCAGTGACAGGAACATGCCTAACACCAGGCTCTCGAAGCCACTCCTGATGAGGCTCCTGTCAGATATGATAGTGCCAAAAGTGATCGACATTACAGGACCCATGAGAGGTGATACCAACATCGCTGCTACGATGTTGGATGCGTTATTTTCCACCAGGCCGAGGGCTGCCAAGGAGCTGAAAATATGATAAAGAATCCTTATGAAGGTACAAAACTAATACATATCATAATTATATTCTAATGTGTGTGTGTAATAACTAAGTACTTATTGTTTTTTTTTCGGAAATGCTTATTATGAATGTCTACGTCCAGTATTTGATAGTTTTAATTAATTATATCATACTATGTTCTGTTTAAACAGTGAATTGGTCTTTTTATTACTCAGTAAATGACGCGGTGGCTGAGCAACCAGCTGCCGTGCAACGTGTAATGGGTTTGATTCTCACACGAAACAACACATTATGTGATCCGCTAATGGTTGTTCTTATCATATAGGAACAGTTACTAAATTCTTTTTATGAGTAAATTTTGACAAATGCGTTATCGTTAGATGCATCTTACAAGAAATGTAAATATATATTTTAAATTTCCTCTGGTTCATTAAAAAGTTGAAATGAATGCTAAAACATATGATTAGTATTGTTTACAACTCACTCAGCTGTTATAATTAGCGTGAGATAATCAAACGAGAGCTCTCCTCCCCCCCGCACCCCATCTACAACTTGCTTCACTGTCAATTTAGACCTTATTGACTCGACGAAATTCCTCCACCGAGTTGCGTCTTCAGATTTTCGCCTGTAAAATTAGGTTTAGCATATAAAGTGCATTTGTGACTTAAGCATTTTGTAGGGGTAAAGTCATCAAATGATTTCTCTCACCCAAGGTGAGGATAGAGGAAGCGTCCGAATCTTACCGACCAGAAGCCACCCAGTTCCTTTTCCTGTTCTCGGCTGAGTCTACTGTACCTTAATGTGCATCACTCGCGCAATTCTGGAATCCTAACTTAGGCTAATGTTTGGAATTCTAACTGAATCAAGTTTAAAATTTTAAACAAATAATTACAGCTTCTACTCCAACAAGGTCAGAATAAGTAGGTATTACTCTTGCCATAATACAATGGGGCCGGACCGGTGGACTAAGGAAGAGTGTACAATAAGTAGTCGAGAATTGCGATTTTGGGAACAATATTTTTTCTTTCAAATAATTTGCTTAATGATAATATTGTACTGGTTTGTCACTTACATTGCCGAGTCGTCAGTGATTGGTTCATTTGGCGTCGCTGAGTGCACCACGTTGCAGGGTAATACACTGTAATATTGAATTATATATTTTTATATAAAACAATATTGTGCTACTTAAGTATATTTTTTTATTAATTTTGTGTTAGGTTCAAACTAATATCTTTTACATTTTTATGGAGACCTATTCGGTTCTCGAACCCTTTATAATTTTATAATAAAGGTTAGTAAGGTATAAATACCTACTAAAACCTTCTCAATATTATGATTTTGAAACTATATTCAACAGTCTAGCATCTGGTACGTAGGATGAACAACGCTTCCAATGCTAAACAATTATCTACTTGTTTTTTTGAGGGGTGATATCTATACTAATATTACAAAGAGGTAAAATTTTTAAGTTTGTAAGTTTGTACCTATGTAGGGGTTTGGAACCACTGGTCGGATTGCCAAAATTCTTTCACTGATAAAAGCTACAATATTTCTGAGTGCTATAGGCTATAAAACATCACGCTACCATGGAGCCGAACAGCGGGTGAAACCGCGCGAGAGTAGCTAGTCATTAATAAAAGGCTTCTCCCGACTTAAGTGTAGCGAGAGGGAGTGTGAGACTCTTACTGACTAAAAACCACCCACCCTAGGTTCCTTCTCCTACACTAGGCCAACAGGACAGCGCAACACTTTATTGCACGAGACCCAAAATAATTGCCTACCTACATACCTATGTTTTTCTTTAAGAAAAAGTCGCGAGACATTATGCAGACAAATTGCAAACTCGGCCGTTTACACCACCTTCATATAAATTCTCTATCGACTAAGTACGTCGACTTCCCTATAGACTTATGAGGCATATAAGTAGTTCTTTTATTTCCTATGTGAGAAGGCGGCAAACGAGTAGACCCATTACCTGATGGTGATTGATGAGTGCATTGTCACCTTTATGATGTGTATTGGGGATTTAGCAATGGGGGAGGACAAGGATTGGGCCTCCGTTATCTCAATCACGCGGCGAAATGAAACACTCGTTTTCCCGCCGGTTTTCTGTGAGACCGTGGTACCGGTCGTGGTAGCGTCGTGGTATCGACAAAGAGTGGGAGAACCAAGCTTCGGCACGAATAGGTCGGCTCGACTATTACAGAAATATAGATACCACGACTTCACAGAAAACCGGCGTGAAATAACCACAGCGTTGTGTTTCGCCGTGTGAGGTTACCGGAGGCCCAATCTTTCCCTTCCCCCGATCCCTCCCCAATCCCTTAATCTCCAAAATGCTAATCCCTAAAAGGTCGGCAACGCACTCGTAACTCCTCCACTGCGGGTGTCCATGGGCGGCGCTGATTGTTTACCATCAGGTAATCCGTCTGCTCGTTATCCGACCTATTAAATAAAAAAACGGTCTGGTTGATCAGGCTCATTTGTGCCGAACCCTAACCCCATATTATTCATATAAATTACGTTCCTTATTCTAATTTATCTAGACCTTAAACTAGGTAATCAGACTTAGACAGTGTGCTATTACTTAATAGTAGTAAGACCTAAGACGGTATGTAAGCCGACAGCGATCGATGATTGTTAAGTAAACTACAATGGTCTCAGGCCTTTGCATATTGTAAAGGGATTATCCACCGTCTAATGGTCCACGTAACTACCCTACTATTGTTTTACTAAACTATAAAGCCTTTAGCATATTGTAAAAGGATTATTTGACTTTTAGTTAGTGACTGTTTCGTTGATTTAGTAAATGCCCGTGCTGTTGATCTCGGTTTTGATTGGCGAGTCGGACATAGAGAAGTGGTTGTTTGGTATTTGAAAAAATCAGTATTACCACCGCATTTGGAAATTGCTTCTACCTAAAATCAATAATGGTGCAATGTAGATCTATGATAAATGGTTTCTCACGGGTGCAATGTAGATAGGTAAGTACAATTCTTTCCACTATTTCTGTTATTATGCATTTAAAACTTTCTCTTCAATCACTCCATCTATACTAATTATCATAAAGAAGTAAAAGTTTGTATGTAGGGGGTAATCTTTGGAACCGCTGCCGCGGGTCCGATTGCCAAAATTATTTCTCTGATAGATAGCTACAATGTTCCTGAGTGCTATAGGCTATAAAACATCACACTACAATCAAAAGGAGCCGAGCAGCGGGTAAGAACGCGCGAGAATAGCTAGTAGATTAAAAAAAACAACAGAATCCGTTGTACAGTTTGAAGATTTAAGCATATGTATGGCCATAGGCACATAGAAAGCAATCACACTATAGTGTGATTGCCTACTTTTTCAGGGAATAATAGTCCTTGTTTACCTCACGATAGATTTGCATCTCACTCCGATCCCGAGCTGCGTGAGACAGTGCAGCATGGTCTCGCATTGGTCGCCAGTTGGCAAAGGAAATACAATCTCGAAATAATTCCCCGCTTTGTCACTTATCCAAACCACATGTTCCACGTGCAACTTGCTGAGCAATTCTTGTAGTATCTGCGTACAATATTATGTTTTTGATGTTATTTGGATTTTTACACCTATCTGGGCATATTTGTTAGTAGTTAATTTGACACCATTAAAGTTGTATATTTTAGATATTTTTCCGGTGCCATATTTATTTGTAAAACTAAGATGGTGGCACCATTATTGGTTGGTGGCCACCTACCGTGACTACCGATTCTGTTTTTAACCAATAGACAGATGCATTCTTTTATTAAATTAATACTCTTGCATATACAGTTTGTTAATTTAAATGCCTCATGAAAAATATCGTTGTAATTGAGCACCAAAGTCGGGCCCTTTAACCTAACACACTGTATAGTGTGCGGGCGCACTAGCATTTTCTCTTGTGTCGTCGATGTTTTTACAATCATAGAAAGTCACATGCTCATCACACTTAGACCCGCAACAATTTGTGGGTCAAACAAAACGTACAAAACGTACGGGAATCGAATCAGAGCAGCAGTTCTTTGCCCAGCCACTGCACTAATTGTGCAATGCAAAGTAATAAACAGTAGCTGTTCCTAATGTATATTACGTATGTATTTGAATCTATAAATTAATTAAAATTAGATCAAATAGTGTAAGTGAATAAATTGGCAAAAACAAAACTTTCTATTTGGCACCAACACTTACATTCTCCATGGTGAAAACTTCGTCGCATTCGTCAATATTATCCAAAGGCTGGCTGTATCCTTCATTATAATACTGTTGAGTTAAATGTACAGGAATACTCCTTGATTTCTTATTCCTTAATTCGACTGCTAATCTTGCCGGCTTAATGGCAGATTCTTCGACAGGAACCAAGTCTTTTGGCTTCCCAAATCTTAGTATATGTTCGTAATTACTTGACGGTATGTATATGACAAAGATTACTCCCGAAGGCATGGTGTTGACTTGAAGACTGGGTACTGACTGAATCAGAGCTAATGTCTACGGAAGTACATGAGGCAGTTAGCTTGTGAGCGTTGGTTAATTAGCTTTCGTTAAACAATTAGAAGGTTGAAGTGATATTGTGTTGTCGCATGAATATTAATGTTTTACTTTGACGCGATGGGTAATAAATAGGTACATATGTATGTTGGTATGGATTGCTGATTGTTGATCGCTTGCTGTCTCATACGATTGTGCCGGTTTACCTTTGATTTGCTTTATTCTTTAGTGAAGTGTAGTAAAAAATATTAGGTATATCTCATTAATTTCAGATTTAAATATGCGGGGACGTCGAGTATTATTGATTATTGATTGTTTATATATAGATATATTATTTTAATTGTTACTCCTGAAAACCTGTAATTAGCTCTCCGGTGGTAACTTTTCGTTGTCTATTGATCTAATTTGAATGGTTGCTGGCCTTGTTGGTTTTACAAATAAGAAATACTAAATACGACAAGAGAATGTCAAATATTATATACGGAGCTGACAATATAACTGTTAAAAAGTCTCAATTCTTTAAGATCCGTTTGAATTTCTTTATTTTATTAACCTAACATGTTGGTGGCACATTTTTAGCAAGGTTTTCGAAATTCTAGGTCTCCTTGTAACTTTAAAAAAAGGTGTTAAATGAAACAATATAAAAATGACAAAACGTAAATACGTTTATTAATATATTCCTTTTTCATTATCTCGTTGATATTTATATTCATATCATAGAAACATTTTTGAAAAAATATTATTATTTATAATTAAGTACCTAGACATAGTAATACTATACATCGTAACTTTTTTTGTCTAAGAGGACTTGATTTTTCGCTTCCACCGTGTAACTTAACGACGGTTTCAAAGTAGGGTAGTCAGGGACCTTAGGGGCACCATCTTCACAAATTTCTCCATTTTGGTATCCTATATTATAATAGCTGTGTTGCATTTCATCCAGGTTTTGTGTTTTGTCCCTTATACTGCTGCTTGCTGTTTGTGTTTCTAAGCTGGCTTTGGTTTCCACTTCCATTGGTATGTAGACGTCTGATAATCTGCAAGTAAATGAGACGTTATAGTTATGTTATAGTTATACGTTGAGGGTATATACTTATTTTAGTAGGGAAAGCCCATGAAAGGATTTCGGTAGTGACTCGAGCGCGTCAGATTAACATATGGGGAATATTTTAGTATTACTATATAAAAAAATAAAGTATATGTAAAATAATTCGTCAGATTAAGAGCGGACAGGTAGATGTAAGAAAGTGCGTTTAAAAAATCCGCCGATTTTATCGTCGTTTACAATAGTGGTAAAGTCTTGGAATCTTCAGAATCCATAGTAGGTAATAATAGATTTAGTTCCAACCACTCATTCTTTTTTTATCATAATATGTTTTATAATAATATTCTTATTACGGTGCGGTTTTACCCGCTACTCAGCTCCATTTAATAGCGTAGCGTGATGTTTTATATCCGCACTCAGGAACATTGTAGCTAGCTTATCAGTGAAAGAATTTTGGCAATCCGACCAGCGGTTCCAAAGATTACCCCCTACATACAAACTTACAAATACCTCTTTATAATATTAGTATAGAAGTATAGATAGATTCTTACTGTGTACTCTGACTGAACCCGTCCATGGCTTGTGACCTGAGCCGCTTGATGAACGAAGGTCTCCTGCGGAACGTGACCGTGCTGTTGTCTATGAGACCCGGCGTCACGCTCGATGCATGATCCTCATTGTTATCTACTTTTGTAGCTGCTTTTTCGTTATACCATTTGCTGGAAATCATTATGAAATGCTTTGTTAGATACTTAATTTTGTAGTTTTTTGGTACTTTACTAGCCGAAGTGTTGTATGACGTCGTACGTCATAAAACTCTTCGGCTTTCTAACTTTGTTTCAGAAAGAACATGGTACTGTTGCCAATGCAACAAACACACTAAACTATTAATTTTATTAAGTGAGGAATTATTTGATATTTCTAGTATAATTGATAGAGTGATTATTGAAGCCTGCTAAAGCTGCTGCCTCTTTTTTTCTAAGAGTTCGGTTCTAGAGCAATCCCAAAGCATATCCCAATACTATTCTCAAAGCATATCCGTATTTTAAAATTAACTGACCATTTTTTTCGCATCGGTGGCTTCCGCTTGGATTGTTTTAACCAGCATGGGAAAGATTTTTACAGGAGTTCAAAAATGTAAGTAAATTAACATACTAACTTGTAAACATCCCAGTTTAAATTGTCTTTGTTTTGTTTAGCCTGCATCCTACTTCTGTTGGCCTTCCACCACGATATGTCCTTCCTCTCCAACGGACTTACTTCTTTCACCTGGAAATAATTTTGAAATAAAAGAATAGGCATTGAGTATGTTATTTAATAAAAAGGTGGCGGTATTTGTGCAATTGCGATTTCCTAGTAAAGTGTTTCAGATCCAGATATGATTCCTAAATCGAATAGAGTGATATTTTTTTGTCGATTATAGTATGGAGCTCTTCCTGCTCCTTATATGAGGTTTACGAAAAAGTGCAACTTCTGCATGCGTGATTTATTTTATAATGGGATCGGTTTACAAACAAGCAAAAGAATCACAGACCTAATTCTACCTTTATAATTCTACCACTGATGGTAACTAATCGGCTCTACCCATTTTTTTTTGTTTGGGGAAAATCATGGCACGCCTTTTCCCGCCCTAGCGCTCGCCGGGTGCCTCATTGCGCTAATCCCGCCACCCCGGCTGAACATTAGCCCTATAGGGCTGTGGTAGTCTATTGGCTCGCACTAACGCTACGCGCCGTCCGCTCGGGTCTGGTTCTGATCGGGCGGCGAGTTACCCTTACTCGCCTGTCCTCAGACCCGCGCTTACGGTGGCACCCATGAACACTCGCAATACCAAAGAAGGTCTAACAAGTACCTACATTGACGACCTTTTGTCGTTTTGTTGGTTGATTAGGACTTCAGTTTTGAAGACTTGGGTATCGAAAGGAACGAAGGATCGGAAGGAAGGATTCATTCGTGCCAAAGTATGGCTCCATCATACTGTTTTATTTTTGAAGGTTCAATATCATCAAATGATTTGTCTTATCCCGCCCTCGGTGTGGCAAAAGGAAGTGGCAGACTCTTGATGACTATAAAAGCCACTCCGTTCCTTCTCCTACTCCAGGCCGAGGCCGCGGTACCTACATTATTGCAGTCGAACCGCAACCGTGGCTGACTTCAAAGGCAAATGCTTGCACTTTCCGCAGAAACGATAAAAAATGTTTCCACGGAGCGGCATCGCCGCGTCACTCACTTGTCATTCGGAGGTTGCATTCATTTTGGCATAAGATGCGTCCTTGGTCAAAACGTTGAAGGTACACATCCGAATTTCGCTTTTCCCCCCAAATATACAACGACTTGTACATAGGTATTGGAAAAGAACAAAAATAGCAACTAATTTGGTTTAACTATCTTGTTATCAGTATAAAAAGAAAAAAGCATATATATATATAATAGAAGCTTAATTCAATGCAAATAGTTTTAAACCAGCTACAATGAACTATTTAAAGTTTCAAAGTTGAACGTGCGTTGTAAGATCTTGATCTCATTAGAAACGTGGTACCTACGTTTAGAGCACCGAAGTAGCTGAAACTTGCAAGAAGTTGGTGCAGTTTTTATAATGTGTATTAGTTTGCATTAACTTTATAACTTAGGTAGAACCTGGTTAGGTAAATGTTTGCTTTTATTCATTGAAAACTTGTCTTTTATGGGATATTTGCAAAAATAATATTAACATAGGAGTTAAGAAGTTGAAAATGATGAGGAAAAAGGTGAGTAAGTTCAATTAAATGTTAAATTAGAAGTCCTTAAGTCAGTAGTGGGTGAATTTGGGCAGATTATTAAGGTACACTTTTATCTATAACCACTAGAACAATATTCAATGGGCCTTATTATGCGTTTATTCATATGAATGTTGTACTTTAAAACCAGGCAGCAATAGCGATAAATCTCTTTTATTTTTTATCAAACTGTACCTTATAAACAGCGACTCCAGCGAGGAAAATGCAGACGATGTTGACGAGGGTCAGACATAGTGACGCGGTGCCCAGTATTGCTAACTCCGAGGGTTGTACCACCAGCCAGCGGAGTTCTTCTGTCGTCACCAACAGGCGAGTCAGTGCCATCGCCCAAAGGAGACCCTGGAATATTATGATACTCATTATTGTAACTGAAAACACTGATGTGTTTGTTTTAATGTGGTCCACTTTTCCAATACGTTAATCGTCAACATTCCTTTTAATCCTCAAAATGTTTGATACTTTGGGGCTAGTTTAGTTGATAAAAGCTCTAAATGAGATTGATGCTTAGAATCCTTGTCGAGTCCAATGCTAAATCCATAATTAAAAATTAAAGGTACTTATGCCGAAAGCCACCCTAACTCCTTCTCTTAGCGCTACTAGTCCATAGCGCGTAGCAGCGTTTTCCCGCTATTAATCTCGTACCACTATAAACTGTCTCAAATAGCGTGTCGGTCGGTCCCTAACTATCTACACCTCTGTGAATACACATGGCTTAATTGTTTTTCAAACCGCCTAATGAACTTGAGGTTAAAAATGTATTCTATACTGTATAAAATTTCTGATACAATAAATTGTTTTTGTAGTAAGAAAATAGCCGGGCCCTGCATATTGACTAAGTTGAAGGTATTTATTTGTTTTTATGGCATAAGTCGGCAAACGAGCAGACGGATTACCTGATGGTAAGCAATCGGCGCCGCCCATGGACACACGTAACAACAAAGGAGTTACGAGTGCGTTGCCGGCCTTTTGGGGATAGGGGTTGCGGATATAAGGATTGGGAAGGGATAGGGGAAGGGGAGGGATTGGGCCTCCGATAACCTCACTCACACGGCGAAACACAAAGCTGTGGGTTTCACGCAGGACTAGTAATTGCCAATTAGTTACATGTGGACTGGGCAACATTTTACAAGTTTTTATGGAATATTAAATAAGTTACAGTTTGTGCGGCTGCGTCTAAGAGTATAGTTACATTCGATTCGCCTATTTCGTTTACCTCCATAATAAGTATACATGACATGACAGTCAAAAGTTGACTGTACATATTGTCGGCCGGAACAATTCAACAATTCGAAGCTATTATGATGACTCATGACCATTCACAACCATAATCGTCGTAATAATCGTAGTATTAATGGAATGCTATATTATATAGGAACGCTATACGCTACGCTGCTAATGTTTACATCAATTGTTGTCATTGTAACTATTCTATTGTAACACAGCGTTCAGTTTTGTCTTTTGTTCAACGTCAAAGGCTTAAAATACAAGATCTTTTAATCTGAATCTTTTAATCTGAATGAATGTTATCGTCTCGTTTTTCTTTTAAATTCAGTCTCATATTTGTTGTAACAGAGTATTTTACTGTTACTGTTATAATGATTAGGTAAACTCTGAGCACAAAACGAGAGCACAATAATTTTAGAGTCTGTGTAAATAGGTATTGTCTAGTTTTGAAATGCGAAATATGACTAACTTTTATAATGAACTCACACTGACTAGGGACGTCGATTTCAAGTAGGAGGAACTCCAAAATCCAAACGAAGCAATTTGGCTTAACAACGTATTGGCTTAGAGGCGTGTAACGGTAAATATTTAAAGGTTTTAAAAAAACACGCTATGAACCTCCCCCCCTGTGCCGATAAGTAACATTGAGCTTATCAACGTCCAAAATTCGCAATCCGGAATGCACTAATAACCTCGTTCTTCACGGATTCATGACGTCATATCTATATGAATGAGGGTGTAATATTATACTTAATACATGCATTTCATCCAGCTCTTACAGAAATAAATGAAATTCATGACGCACATTCAAGATTCAACAATGACGTAGTTAGCCCAAAACAAAAATATTTTCACCTCATTCTAGCGCTACTAGAACTTTCAAAGTAAATAAGTTTAGGTAACTCAAACTTCTGCTTAAAATTTATGTATCTACGTAGGTACGTCAACATCTAAAAATACTTATTCCAAATGAAGCAAGACTCCATCCTGAACTGACTGAAGACTGCAAGACTTTCGCATCACCTTTATTCTATTTATTATGACGAACGTCAATGAATGGCTATTTTAGGTTTTCCATAAATAATGCAATTTATTTTGGTGGCATTGTGTGGTACAGATTTGGCATTTTTGCGACATTATATTGCGTGTGATAGGCTACGGCTACTATTAACCGACTTCATTTTTGTATCAACATCTGAAAATATATAAGAATTGAAGTTCTTATATATTTTTTGGATGGCTTTATACTAGATACGTCTTTTGATATGCGTATAAACATAGACATATATAGCTCGATGAAAAGCTTGTAAAACATGTCTTATCGAAAAATCTGTGTTTCCACAGCGGAACGAACAGACTGACCGGCTAATATAATTCTATGTACCTACCTACGTTTCATAAAAAAACCGACTTCAAAAACAAAAAAGTGTCAAATAATTAAAATAGACATTTTAATATCACTCTTACGTACGCGAAGCTAATACTTTTCAATATTAATAATAAAACACTAATATCAATTCTATTTGTATACCTATTCATAGGTTTGAAGTCCTCCTCCTTTTTTGAAGTCGGTTAAAAAGTACCTATTTATGGTTTAGTTGGAATAAATGATTTTGACTTTACTGCGAAATGCCTAAAGGTCTTAGTAAGAAATTCATACTCACAGCATTAACAGCGGGAGGTAGCAAAGAAGCAGAGATGGCGACTCCGACAAGAGAGGAGGTGTACTCTCCAAGGACGGCCAGCGCCACTGCAGCGCCACTCGGGATCGCCACCAGGACACCCACCCATAGAGAACGATACTCACATCTGGAAGTCAGAAAACTGCCTTTTAACTATGTTGTTTTGAATAAATAAATAATTATTGTTATATCATAAAATACAAGCTGCTCTCGCGAGGTTTCAACCGCTCTGCTCGGCCAATTCTAACGCTATGGAATTGTAATTTTATAATCTATAGCGCTCAGGAACATTGTAGCTATCTATCTATCAGTGAAAGAATTTTAAATCAGTGGAAATCCGACCCTCGGTTCCAAACATTACTCCCTACATACAAACTTACAAATTTTACCTCCTTATAATATTAGGTAGTAAAGATTATTAGCTTGTAGGCACTAAGCGCACCCATGTTGCTCCCTTTTGTGCAAAAAGTTAAACAAAGAAATAATATCTATTGTATTATTGTTACAAATCCCATTTTTGCACGCATGTACATAGGTACTTGGGTTCCTTACTCTTTACATACTACTAATATTGAGAATTATCGAAGTACAATGACATTGACACGAAAATAAAAAAAAAATATCAATTTCTTTTTTTGGGACGTATTAAATTTAAATTATTTGCATCTACTAATAATTATTCGTAGGTATATTGTGCCTGATTAAATTTCAAATGTGGTCATTCGAAATTTTGAATCTCAAGAATGGAGTTTCAACCGTGGAAGAAGTAGGTACATACTTAGTGTTATTTTGGCATTTGGCGTTCCGCTGACCTTATCTGAATCTGGGACGTTTATAGGTCATAGGTCAGTTTAGAGAGAAGTCCTGTGGAAAGAACATAGAAAGAATAAAGGAACAGAATCAGATGTCCACAGAGTAAATGGACGATAATGTCTGGTGGGCTACTGTTATGACGATTTTTGACTGTCTTAGTTAATTTTTAATAGTTATTACGAGTAATTAATAAGTTATCGAATATTAGATTGCCGTGATAAGAAGTGATCATTTTCTCTCTACAAATTCGTTATCACGTACCTTGAGGATAAGTATATGTAAGTAATAAGGTTATATAACCAATATGTACATAAATCATCTTGCAAAAATGTGAACACAATTGTTCGATGACCAATTATAGGTACCTATAGAGTAATAATAATTATTTGAATTACTCAGTCTCAAGTTGGAACAATACAGGAAAACATTGTTCCTTGTCTAATAACTTAATAAGTTATAGGACAGTTCTAGCTCATTTTTAATTAAAAGACAAAACAAATTTGATTTATTAGGTGACCTATATCTTTTGAAGATTGCACGGCTATAAGGAAATCAATATGTTGTTATGCTGCGACTAGACAGTGTGATGGATGGTTGGATGTATCATTTATCACATACTGACAATATCGTCATGTTGGGACAGGAGCGATTGTGATGTTCCAAAGGTGAATAACCGACCTGTGTCCTGTTTTCTAGAACCTGGGTATCGGTAGAGTAATTAGTCGATCTTAGATTGTTATTATAAGATACCTAGTGCAAACCGTGGTGCAAACAATTTTTTACATGACTGTCCGAAAACCTTATTCCATTTACCTATTTAAAAATGCCAATAAAAACTATGACGTCGTTTCAAAGATCTAACCATAGATATATAGAGACAGACAACTAGAAGCGACTTTGTTTGTTATTATGGAGTGATTTTTTAATCTATATTAATTCTATGATTAGGATAAAAGTATGTTAGGTAAATATTACATATCTAATACTTATAGTACCTAAGTATGAATGCCTACCATAACAAGAAGCGTTAGAATTTTTTGAAATAACTGAAACGTTTATCTATCAATAGCACTATTTATTATGCTTTACTAATTGATTAACCTACTTATTGTGATCAATGTTTACAAATTTTACGATTACCTTCTACATGTATACAGCAACCAGCAACGCGACACATTTGCATGATTATCTCATTTGAAGTGAGAAAACTTGGTGTAATAATTCCTAATTGTAAACGTATTTATTTTGAGTAGAACAAGTCATTCTATGACTTCTCCCACTCTAGATGGGGCAAGAGGGAGTGTACTAGAGACCACCTTGTTCCAACTCTTGCTATAAGCCGGACCGGGGTACGGCCTTGAGCTTTGCTCATCCCACAAGTTAGCGGTCTTCTGCACGTCGATTATATAAAATTTGTTTGATTTTGAATCGTGTTCAAGTGCGAAGTGAGCGTCGAAGTGACGAGGAAATTAAATTTTAGAATGCCACTTTTAACGTCATTTCATACTTTATCTTTCAAAATGATGCTGTCAATTTAGTTCAACTCGTAAGTGTAGCGGTAGTGTACTACTACTCACGGCGGATTCAGATTCGAAATTTAGAATGAAGCCTTACAGAATCACACTGCTTATATTATGATGATGAACATACCTTGAGATCATTTCATAAGTAGGCCAGTCTTCCACAACTCCGTATCGTTCATCGATAGCGCAGATGGTCAGCCCGAAGAGGAAACCCATGACGAGTGAGAGAAACAGGCCAAGGAACTCATTCTTGACTCCCATCAGCTGCAGAGAACGGTCTTTGACGGCTGTGCCTAGAGTACCCGCTGTTATTGGACCCTGGAAATTAAGAAAATGTTGGAAAAGACTACTTGATTAACTCAAAAGTATGTAGATTTAAGATTATAATATAAACCTAAGTCTTAAAGTAAGTAAGCATGCGATATTTCTTTTTACTTAGAACACCTCGTAAGAGTGGTGTAATTAATGAGTTTTCAGTAAATGTTGCATCTGGTACCGAATTTTAACATTTTGACCGAAATTGTCGGCTATAGACGACAAACGAAATAGGCGTTTTCGCCAATGTCGAGCATAGCCGACCAGAAAACTTCATAGTTAAGTGTATTTTGGATTTTCGTCTATAGCTGACCATAGCGGTCAAGAGGTTAATAATAAATTTTGATATTCAATATGTTAACAATAAGATGTAACCTTTTTAAGAATAAGTATTTTTACAAGCCCTCTTACCATAAGCGGCGATATAAGCATACTGGCCACAATTATAACAGTGGAGTTTTCAACCAGACCAATAGCAGCAACGAACGCGGCAACCAACAGAAGAAACACCCAATCAAAGGTGAGGGCTGCGTCTGCGCGTACATCGTGCAACACTTGCGCGAGATTCGTGCGCGCGCGCACCGATGACGAAAACCGAGACCACGCTGTATTTGAAACGCTGAAATCATTTATATGAATGCGTTAATATAAAATTTTAATCTAAATAGTTTTCTATATAGTTATGTCTATGGGCCATTGTCGGTTGAATGTAAAAGATAAAATAAATAAGGACGAAAAGTAAGGCTTCATTTTTCGTTTATAACGAACTACTTAGCTAATCCCGCGCGGTTTCACTCGATGCTTGGCTTCTACAAATGGTAACGTGATGTCTTATAGCCTAAAGTCTTCCTCAAAAATGGATTGAACGAACACAAAAATTCAATTCAATTCGAACCAACTATAATAGTCGTAACCAATAGTTCCGGAGATAAGCGCGTTCAAACAAACTCTTCAGTTTTATAATATAGATGTATTTTGAAATTGGCATTTAGAACTTGTACATAATCATAGTTCGGCCGCTATTTATGGTGGTGATGGTTAAGAACAACTAGTATGGTCCATAACCAATAGTAATCTTTCTATCTAGATCTGAAATGAGATATGTACCAACTTTTTTCCTAGGAGGTTTAAATGTACACATAAACATACATTTTATACAGCAATGACGTTTACTTCTGTAAAATACTTGTAAAAAAAACGAATTACTAGAAGTCATGGGAAGTTATGGTAATGACGAAATGATTGTTTGCCCGCCATTTAAATAAATGTTTATTTCTGTGGAACCAGGTAAGTGTAGGTTATAATGTAGCCATTGTAAAATATATATGATTGTGGTGTAGATTATGTAACATGAAATGAAAAGGCGAATAGATGGGGTGCCACTAGGGCCGATCTAGGGTTGCAGGTGCAAGCCATATAATCCGCCATTTAAGCCATATAATGTAGGTAATGTGGCCTTGGCTCATAGCAGAAGTAGTTTTTAGTCAGTAAGAGTGTGACACTCCTTCCCACTCCACCCAGGCGATAGAAGTCCCTGGACGATTTCTCCCCCGAAAAAAAAACCGATTACATGTTTGATTTGAACAACAAAGAATTTTATTCCTTGTCTGAATATAGATGGATGAGATCATATTTAGGTATTTGAGGTTTTTCTCGGTGTGTAGGAAAATATAACTTAATTATATCTACTTATTATAATTTGTGTTATAATTTTAGTAGATTTGCATAAGTATAAATGATATAAGTATCAATGTCATATGTTTAAAGTAAGTCGACAGAGTGAAATCTCTAATGGTCAAGGTGACCAAAGATATTTTTTTATTCCATGATATTTTTTTAAACCTATCTTAGGAAACAAGTATCTAGACACATTGAAATGTACATAATAGACAACATACCTATGCTTCAAAAATATTTGTTCGTCGTCTCGGCATCGTGTAGTTCAGGAGGCATTTAGGTGCAAGGTTATTTATAGTTCTGGTGGGTTAATGTGGTGGGTGGGAAGTAATAGCTGTTCGTTAAGATGCTGTTACGAGTATTCAAGATCAATTGTTTAATTACAATCACTAGTTTATTGATAGTTGTTAGTTACTTGTCTTGATCATTCTACATAATTATTGTCGAACTGCACGGTTGGTGCGGTGGCTGGGCAACTGGCTGCCGTGCAAACTGTCGCGGGTTTGATTCCCGCACGGAACAACTCTTTGTGTGATCCACAAATTGTTGTTCCGGGTTTGGGTGTCATGTGTATGTGAAATTGTATGTTTCTAACCGCACCCTCACCCACGACACAGGAGAAAATACTAATGTGGGGCAACGATTTAAAAAAAAATAGAATAAAATAGAAATATTGTGTTTTCGTTGTAATTTTATTATTGTTCACATGCATGGTATTTTGATTTCTGTGTGGGACTGTCTGATGTTTCCTTCAAATTTAATAAAATTGTTAACGTATAAGTGTTTTGAAAGATGAATTCTGATTTGGTGATTTTGGTGTAACAAAGTTATAGTCGAATGGATCGATTTCGATTAATAATGAGTATAAAAATATATATCACAATGACTATCACCACCATGGTCTATTTTGTTTTTCTTCAATATGTTCTATTTTTTTATGTTATAAGTCGGCAAATAAGCCCATGGCCAACCGCAATGACATGACAGAGGAATTACGAGTGCTTTGCCGACCTTTTAGGGATTAAGGATTTGGAGAATTTGGAAATGAGAAAAGATTGGGGGAGGGGGAGGATTGGGCCTCCGGTAACCTCACTCACACGGCGAAACACAGCGCTGTGGTTGTTTCACGCCGGTTTTCTGTGAGGCCGTGGTATCACTCCGGTCGAGCCGACCCATTCGTGCCGAAGCATGGCTCTCCCACACTTAACATTAGTTACTATACACGGAATTTTAATTCCATTCCAGATTTGACAATTTCAGTGTTGCAGCGTTATGACACGTAATAAATAGTGACGTTGCGAAATTATTCGATGTGGAAATCGAATATTTCTGAATCGATTCCTCTCGTTTATAAATTTAATCTCGTAAACTAAGTTTATCAGGAAATAAAATATTTATGAACCGATAATTTAGTTTTGACAATTAATTAACGATCTGAGACTTTTCTTTTGAAATTGTGTGTGAAATTAATAAAAAATGTGATCATGAATGAACGTGACAAATAAAACAGAAATTTTATAAAATGTCGCCGTCATTGCTATCGCTATCGCTGTTACTTTCTGTAACATTTATTATGAATTGTGTCTGTGATATTTATTGTCAATTAAAATATTTAGCTTACTCATTTTTTCCTCTTCTTTGACAACATGGGATACGCATTTAGACCATTCGATAGCCGTAATTTTTTGAATGCCTTCCTGAAACTGATTCACCGATTGTTTATCGATTTTTGTGTTCATCACTATACTGTTATATGTGGTATCATTATTTCACAAAATGACAATAGGTCATGTCAAATCAGGAATCGAATTAAAATTCTGGTCACAAGCAAGTAATTTTAGAATTATATACATAGGTATGATTGCTTGTGACCACGACCTGTGTAACCGGGTAGAAACGTCAAGCCTACCAAGGTATTCAAATAATAATTTTCCGCGTTAATACCCGCGTAATATCATAAATAAGCGTAATATCATTAATTCTAAATTAGTTACTATAATAAAAGCTTCAGTTATCTGATACTCACTCTTCATGTCGAATCACACCAACTTCAGAGGCTGGTGAACTGACTTCATCGTTAGACTTGTAGTATAGAGCACATGGTACTAAACTGACTGATGATTGATACCGAGATCCGATCCCAAAGGTCCTCAGAACTTGTAATAACTCTTCACTCAGATTCCCTGATTCTAGTGAAAATGTCACCTACGAAAAAAGAATAAAATCAAAGTCAATGTTAAAGTCATTTGTTCCAACTTCACCATAAATATGTACTTTTCAAACAACAACGAGAGAGAAGAACGAGAAAGAAACTCCATCGATGCACTTTCTTTTTTTAATGGGTTTTACGAGTTTACCAATACATTAATACACCATTATTGTATCCATGTGTGAAAACAATGCAGATAACAAATTGTTTCAACAAAAGAAGTAACAAGCGGCTCAATTCCTCATTTAAAGATAAGACTCCTAAGACAAATACATTTGCACTTCTAATTAGTTTTAAAAGATATAAGCATTGGACTCCTGCCAGTTTAAGTAAGTAAATCGCAATTATCTCATATTCAACTCTTAAATGCCAGCTTTACTACCTCCATAAACCAAGATGGCACATAGTTCATTCGAGTAGCGTTCTATATTCAAATTTATCTGAAACATATTCAGACAGTGTCAAACATGCTCTTAATCTAATACCTATACGCGATAAAAAAGGTTTTATGCTACCTATAAGTAGGATAAAATAAAAATCTAAACCTGGCTGATTGTTTTATTTTGTTGTCATTAATAAAACTAAACAAAGATTCTATTTACAAAAGTTATAGACGTTTGTTTCTATAATAAAGTCTTAAGTTAATTTTACCAAAAACATCGGGAGATTTGACAACAACAAAACATTATTTTTATGGGATAAGGGGGGGATAAGGGGACATGGGATAATAACTAACAACGGATCACCTGATAATAAGTGATCAGCAAGAAAATGCAATTAAAAATTAAATAGACACTTCGGCAAATCCGTTTACGTTCAAATCGATATAATAAAGTATGGTTTGTTCTATTGTGTCCACTACACCACTTTGGAAGAACACAAAGCGGGTTTCAAGCAGTTTGGACGTCTACCGCATTCATAACGTGCAGTTATGAATGATAACTTGGATCCTTATCCGCTTAATAGGACCTACGCGATGCAAAGACTTTTATTAATCTGATTTACATAAGTAGCTAGACATGTAGGGAATTGCGTGTTCGGATACTGCACAATACAATTACTAGTTTTGTAGGTAAACTAGCGACCCGGCCCGGCTTCGTACAGTAGGTACACTGCTGATACTAAATTTCTCAACTACTTCATGAATGTTATTATTATACATAATTATATAAACCTTCCTCTTCAATCACTGTATCTGTTAAAAAGTACCGCATCAAAATCAATTGCGTAGTTTTAAAGATTTAACCATACATTATATTAAGTAGTGATAAGGTTATTATGAATCAATCTTTGTTTAAGAAATTGTGCGAGTCTTGGATTTCCGTTTAAATGTTCAAGTTCATAAAATAATGAAGAATATTTTCAAAAAGGCGATTAGTAAATTTACACACAAACGTAAAATCCCTTATGGCTGCTTGAAAAAAGAATATTTCATTAATGTTCTCAATTAAGTTTTTAGAACCTAATATTTTGAGTACATCATCTGTTCGATTTGGACTTAATATTTTGAACTTTATTTGTTGTATGAAAATGATTAAAAATCTCAAAATTTATATATAACGATGAATTCAACAAGAAGCGAAGCCATTAATAGAAATATAAATAAAAGGGCAAACCTTTTTTAAATTTAGCTATCATCCCGGGCTACACCAGTGCAAGCACAATAATGAACAGTGGTGTCGTTCCACGCAGGGCGGGAAAAGTCATTCGATGACATAAAAAGGATTTATTCTCAAAGAGTATTTATTCTTAAAGACAATAAAATATACCAACCTGCCAAAATTTATCATCCTTTGTTGAACTCCACGCTGCATTTTTGATATCCAGTCGTTCCACTATTTCCGCTAGGATCTAAAACCAAAGGATTACATAAATTATGGTTATTAAGCAAAGGGTTAATTTATAGCACATTAAACTATCCCAAAATACCATGGTACTTTCAACTTTATTTCAAAGGGTTAAGGTTGAAAATCTAGTCAAAGTAGTTGGATATCAGATAAGGGTAGTTTGATGTGCGTTTATACTTAGTGTTCGAGTTTACTGAGATAATGGTCAGTGGAAACAATAAATTCTAAGAGAAACTAGGCATTTGAAGTTTCAAAAGGGTATATATTCCTGGTGATCTTACGCAATTTTATACCCTATGGATAGGCGTTAAGGATACAATTAGCAGGTTCTTTCTAACTATAAGATATAAAAAAATGTTAAGTATTATAAACAGCTCTCAATGTTTCAAAGATGTTATTACTGGAAGCTATTTATTTTCATGACGCATTTGTTTAATACGGCTGCGTAACTTGCTAGGTATAGCGAAAAGAGGAACGTTATATTAGAGGAAAGTCACCAAATATGAAATAGTATCCTAATATGGAATACCTTCATTTCTCTAAGACTATAGGTATGACACGCAACACTCGACCATCTTCTGTTCCATTCGGTCTACTAACTATCGCACTCACACCATCGAGTCAGTTGCGCGAACACTTCACGTGTGGCAGGCGCGTTTTGTTTTGTTGTCGTGCGGAAAATTTTAAAGGTAAGTAATAAATGAGTATTACCAGCTGATATGTTTGTATACATAAGTGTTATACTATTTAGTATATCGGTATTATGTTTATTTCACCATTTTGTGATCTTTTAATTTCAAAATATTGTGACTTAAAAAAATATTTAGAAGAATTTGAACTAGTATAAAAATCCAAATATGGACAGTCGTCGGTGTCTAATTATGGAATATTCCATAATTAGATTTAATATTTCATATGATAGATACTTGCTTGCTAAAAAATATATGTAATGTTTGTTTTTAGAATGTCCGGTTCACAATCAACCAAACGAAAAACCTGGGATGAAGAAAAAATGGCACAAGCTATAAAATTCGTCCGGGGGAAGAAAATGGGGTATTTGAAAGCGGCACAGCATTTTCAAGTGCCTAGGACAACTTTATTTCGTCTCTGCCAAAAAGATGAACAGTCTCCAGAAGTGGCAGCAGCTACTACATTAGGACGAAAAACTATCTTGGGCTCCGAACTAGAACATCAGCTAGTAGAATACATACTAATAATGGAGAGTAAGTTTCACGGTTTAACAAGAACTGATCTTCGCCGTATGGCGTTCATGCTAGCAAAGCGAAACAATTTGCAGAATCCCTTCGGTGAATCAGGTATGGCTGGAAAAAAGTGGTTAAAGTTATTTTTAAATCGTCATAAAGATAAACTTTCGATAAGAAGACCAACTGGTACATCATTTGCCAGAGCATTTGGATTTGATAAAGAAAAAGTGGAAGCCTTTTTCAACCTCCTTGAAGAGCTTTACGCTAAGAATAACTATCCACCAAATCGTATTTACAACGTGGATGAATCAGGCCTCACAATTGTACAAAGTAAGATACCACAAATCATCGGCCACAAAGGTAAACGCCAGGTAGCTGCACTGACTTCAGCAGAAAGAGGATCTCTGATGACAATAGTTGTTTGCATGAATGCTACTGGTCATTTTGTGCCACCGTTCATTATTTTTCCCAGAAAAAATATGAGTGCTCAGCTAATGAGAGGCTGTCCTCCAGGATCAGTCGGAGTTGCACACCCATCAGGGTGGATACAAATGAACATCTTTACAGACTGGTTCAAGCACTTTATTCAACACACCAACCCGACTCCTGAATCGAGGGTTTTACTGATACTAGACGGACACTATAGTCATACTCACAATATCGATATAATAGATATTGCTAGGGAAAATAACGTGGATATAGTTTCGTTACCTCCTCATACGACTCATAAATTGCAGCCATTAGATAAAACTTTCATGGGGCCTTTAAAAACATACTATAGTGAGGAAATACGCATGTGGATTAGAGACAACAACAGACCTCTAAGTCCATATGATATTGTGGAGCTGTTTGGCAAATCCTATTTGAAAGTACAAACAGGCGAAATCGCAGCCAACGGGTTCAAAGTTACTGGATTGTGGCCTTTAAATAAAAATGTTTTCAGTGATGTGGACTTTATTGCTGCGCAACAAAATGCTTTAATAGACGGTTGTACAACCAATATCCCTCCGCTGGAATCAAGATCTGAAACTGGTCAAGTTCTGGTAGAAATACCTGCACCACAAACAACTGCTAGTTTACAACCTGAACCTGTACCTTCGACTTCTGGGCTTAATCGCAGCAGTTTGGGTCTGGTGTCTCCGTATGCCATAAGTCCAGTGCCAGAGAAACGAAGAAAAGTATCTAGCAGAGGAAGAAAAGCTGCTGTAGCAGCAGTCATAACATCTTCTCCCTACAAAACTGATTTAGAAAATAAAAATATGAAGAGACAAGAAAAAGAAAATAAACTAGTCAAGACAAAGAATAAGAAGAAAACTGCGAAGAGAAACAAACAAACGAAGAAAAATAAGGATGATAGTGAAGAAGAAGACTCTGAGGAACTAGACGTTATCCAGTTTGATGAAGGTAGTGAACATGATGAGTTGATGGACCAAGTACCTCCTGACTCTGCTGATGCAGAATGTATGTTCTGTTCAAGACTTTTTTCCATGGATAAAAGTGGAGAAAGCTGGATTAAATGCTTGATGTGTGGGCTCTGGGCACATTATGATTGTGCTGGTCCAGAGTTTGATACTTGGATCTGTGACTTTTGCAAGTAATTATGTAACTTCTTTCATTTATCACAATATGTTATATTTATTTAATTGATCTCAAAGATATTAATGTCCATTTTTGTTATTGTTATGTTGATTTATGCTTATATTCCATATATGGGTACCTATTCCGTATTTGGTTACTCATTTGTGATTTTGTTTTTTATGTTAGATTTTAATTTGATAACTAATATATTTGATTAAAGGCTGTTAATTACTACATATAAATGTATGACTGATTAGTAAAAACATTAAACTGTTTTAATTTATATGAAGTTTTTTTTTTATATCCCAAAAACAAAATAGTATTCCATATTTGGTGACTTTCCTTAGTATAATCTGTGGTTACTTCCATGTAGTACTCATTATTATATAACTATTACTTAATGGCTACTAAATTGTACATTAATACCTATAAGTTGATGTCATTATGTTTATATGTCATTATTCATTACTGGTGATAAGTCTCTAGTCAGTTTATAAGTAACATTTATGACAAAACAACAGTCCAAACAAAGGTTTAATTGACGAATTATTTGTTTTCTTTTAACCTCATGCGGCTAAGAAATAAAATTACGGATCCTTCAATAAGTAATATGGAAAAAAAAACATGGGATGAGCGATAAACAACGACTAAATACATACCTACTTCATTACTCAGACAGATCGTATTTTTTTTCTCAAGGAAAATGTTTAAATATTTATGAATGAGGTTTTATGCATTATGCCACTATCTGAAGGACAAATAGAGAATTCTTACTGAAATGTCCTAAAAACATTATCACAATAAACGAATAGAGAATTGTTATTTTTTATAATAGAAATTACCTAGTTAAATTAGTACTACTGTAAGTATTTTTTAAAAGGACATATAATAGGTATCGACCTAAAAAAACTTCGGGAAAAAACTAGAGTACCTAAGTAAGCAAGCTACATATCTTTGTATAACTATTTATTCGCTTCAATAGAAAAAAAAATGTAGCACCGATAAACTATTCAAAATATTATGAAAACTTTTTATTGTCTATGCCTTCTATTGTTTATCTAACTATATAAAACAATAGTAACGAGTTAAATGCTCGGAAATCTGATCGATATACAATATAGTTGTAATCATTGACTGTTTGAAACATTATGATGACAGAAAGGAGACATTTCAACATGGTTTTGATAGGAAATCTATTGTGTTTGTTACAAGGTAAATTTGCAAATTAATTTCTTCCGGTAACAAGGTACAAAGAACAACAAAATAGCACAATGCTACTATATCCTATGACATCATGTTTATACAATGATATTATAAGTATAATGCTATAGATAGGTTACATAAACAAAATTCGATTTTTAAAAATGGACACTTATGATACACGTTGAAGTGGGATGGTATGATTCAATAATCGCGAGTGAAAAAGAGACAAATATGAAAAAGTGTGGCTAGTTAGCCACATTTTAATGTATCAATTGCTGAGCGCTTTTAACCTATCTACACCTTTTTACTTATAATATCATTGCGTATATATGTACGAGTCACTATATTTTCATTACTTAATTTAAACTTACTAGGTATGTTGTAAATTAGACAACCCTTGAACTTATTTTAACAATTCTGTTTGTGTTGTGTCTTATGACGATTTTAGGCAAGTTGGAGAAAAATGAGAAATAAAAACCCCTTTTCCGATAATGAGGTAGTAACGGAACGGAGCGCTAGTTACTTAGGTACTAGTACTAGACAGACAGTATGTGCTCAAAAATGAATCCCATTTACTATTGGCCACGCGTTACTCTGATGATTCTCTTTATTCTTTATTTACAAACGTCACGAAAAGATTAATATTACAGATATTTTTTGAAGAGTAGAAGGAGGGGTATCGCTAAATAAGTAGGTAATATCCGTTTTGATACCGAACGGTTTGGTGTATCGTGCCTGGTGCCGAATTAAATGTTTTTTCTTTCGTTTTCTTAAAAAAACTAAGTCCGGTTTGCCATATGCGAAATGGCGGGGCGGGAGAGAAGGGCGCAATTTTTATATCTCTCATAATATGCATTGAAAAGAGGAAATAATGTTAAATCAAGTACTTATATCCTATTTTAATGTGTGAGTGCCATACACAAATTGTTATTCCTGATCTGGTTGTTACATGCATTGTCACATGAAATTATATGTTTGTAAACGCACCTACCGTAACATACACGAGATAATTCATGAGTAAAAAAGTCAATGACAATATAACCTATACATAGATATATCGCCAAACTTATCTTAGGAATAGGAAATTAGGAACAGACATTGTAATGCCATTTGTATTCAAAAACGAGGTCGGAGAATTTTCACTAACATCTTAAACACAAGAGGAAAATCCTTTATTAACTAAAAAACAATAAACAGAGTAACGTGTTAATCAACAGTATTTTTTAACACTGAATTAATTATTCATATGTGAAAAATAATTCTCCCTTTCTTTTACTTTGAATGTCGTCTAAAATACCAACTTCGCTTCGTCGACGTCATTATGTTTATGCGTCATTATAGCATACTTATTTATGAAAAAATAGCACGGAAACACTACAACTAAGTAAGCAGGTATATCGCCCATATACAAAACCATAGGTACTTATTATTTTTAAAACTTTATACATATTTTACAATGTAAAGAAAGCCAAAATACGTTATTGTCGCCGTAGAAAACCCGATTGCTGAGCCAAAATTTGTTATCAGATGGCAGCACTGAATTCATGCAGTCTGGAAATGGAAAGGGCCTCAAACACTTTAACATGTGTTATAAAGTATAAATGCAAGCCTCTGCTTATTCATTTAGGTATTCATTAGCGAACCCGGAGGACATGGTGGAGTATACGGTGATTGTGTGACCGGTTCGGCCTCCCACGTCTGGCCTAAGTTTTGGCCGTAATGCGGACCGGGCGATAATGGGAAGCCTCTCTTCTCCTTATACGAGTAGTCATGCTAAAGAGGAGATAGAGTGCTTAAGGCCTTCTTACGCACCAGCTGCTGCAGGAGACACTCTGGGTATCAGGGATCGTGAGTCGATCTCCGGCCACCGCCCGACTAGACCCAGATCTGGGCGTTCGGCGCATTAAAATCGACGCGCAACTTGACGAGTTATAAGACCACCGCAGCTGGGGACAACTAGACCCGATATCAAGCGAGGGTTGCGATTGCAAGTACAATAATGTGTGAGCAGGAAAAGGACCGGTGTGTTTTTCGTCAGTAAGAGCCTGGTATTTCCCTCTCCCACGAAGAGCTGGGGAAATGGTTAATTGATTACCGCCGCAAATAAAAAAATGAAAGGAATTAATCACCGTTAATTAACAATTTCATCAACAAGATGAAATATAATTATTTAATTATCTATCGCGTAGGTAACATTCTTGCAGAAATTTTATTAAATATGTAGGAATTCGCGTTTTTTATCTTAAACCGCAAACTTCGTCATGACGTTGTTTTTATGAGCATAATAATTGACCGGGCGTCTTTTTATTTCATCTTTTTTGTGGTCATTTATTTGAATAGCAGTCCATGCAAATGTTATTTTGGACACAAAAATATTTATAGAAACAGTTTTAGCACAAAAAATGAAGAGGTTTAGGGGCTGTACCCATAATGGAAGATAGTCTTTTTTTAATTAACTTATTGACGTATTTCTCAAGGTCATTGCACTCGTTCGGTTGGCAAACAAATACTATCTCAATATTTAAAGCTAGACATGACTTATATTTTTATGTTCAGAATTGAAATTGCTAATGGAGCTTAGAGATAGATTAAGATATTCTTGAATAAGATAGACTAGATCTGGACGTTAGATATAACGCTTAATAAATTGTTAGATTTAAATCAAAGAATGGCAAAATAAAAGAAACATGCCAAAAAGCTAACGATATAAGTACAATGAGATGCTATGAATAATGATAGTTATGAAAGGAAAGATAGCGTGTATATGATAAGCTGACATGGGGTGTGATAAGGGAAAGAACGAAAAAGAAAACATTTAAGCCGTCCCCAATCCAAAATAATGACGACTTCGAGGAAGACATGACTACCAAAGAAATTACAAGAAATATTTCCATCGTTTTAGTTAAAGTAATTGCTAATAGAAACAGATTTTATCAAGGAGTTCATCTCAAACTTTTTTCAATCATTTGGAGTGAAGTGTCTCACGCGTAGTGTCTCAGAGACAAAGGAACTTAGATTATTTGATTAGGGACAAGCCAACTTTTCTGCCTGATTAACGCAGATTTAAAAGTATGTCGATAGGCCCATATCATATTTTTACCAGTTACTTAGATTTGTTATATTTTTAATACAGGTGTATTATTAACACAATTTTCACTACTCACTAGTGATGTGTCTTATGTGATTTTTTGTCTCGATCTAAGTGCTGGATGAATGCCATTCCATTTGAAGTAAGATTATTGATTTTCGGTTTACTAACTATAATTATATTTGTATACTTAGTTCAAAATTAAGAAAATAAACTGGCATAAGCATTACTACTTTTTTTAAGTTGCAATCGGCGTGTTACTTAATAAACTTGTCGTTGTTGACGTTTTTACTTTGTCACTGGGAAAAACTATAACATATATAGAGATTTTCACCGCTTTTTAAAGTCTTTATTTGGGGTTTTAATGGGGGCAGGTGTTAGTTAACACGGACGCTATAATTTAACAAAAGCCCTATATAACATTTAAACATGAGCTTTTGGGTTTCCATGTCATGTCAAAGGTTATTTACAGTCGTTAACCCGATTCCCGGTTACATGTAGGCACCTAATTATATAAATATAATACATTTTCACTTCAGATAAATAGAAAAAATGAGCTAAATATGTGATTATAGCTGCATTTGAAAAGTGGAAGGTATTTACATGTAATATGTTTAATCCAGTTTAATAAAAAAGTAATAAAAAGCAAAACCTTCTTATTCAATGGAATGTTTTAACATTAGAATCATAACATTCTAGTATTAACATAAGCTTCAATCATAAAATAATATCGTTGCCATTGATATAAAAAACCTTATATCAATGATCGTTGCTAACGTAAAAAAAAGAACTTGGAATCGATAGATGGATCGTGAGCATACACATACATAGATATACGTAGGAAATTGAGAAAATATCTACTATATCGGACGATTTCCTAAATCTCTCTATTAAAAAAAGTATAATAAGTACAAAAGACAACAATCTCTGTATCATATTTCCATTATTATTTTATTAAAGAAAATTGATTAGTTTTTTTCATGAATGATTAAGTCGATGTTGTTTTATGGATGTTCTTATCTTGTTTCGTCTTTTTTGTTGACCCAATAAATATAGCTATGCCAAAGTTTTGAGCTCCGAGCTTGAACATTCTAAAATTGAAATACTTTCCTGGAATACTTGGTGAAGAAATTTTAAGATGCCCCAATAAGGAGCAGGTGCAGTATCTTCTTTAATGAAAATGAGGGTTAACATATCTAATTGAGTCAGTAACAAAGTACTTACAGTTTCCAGTGGTGTGTCCCAGTGAAATGCAGAGAGCACATCAACTCCCCGTGTAGGTCTAGTTATTGTAAGTTTGTTCTTCCGCGGCTTTATCGCTTGTTTTAACTCGTCCCAAGACGCCTTCACATAACCTCTCCGATCCGCCGGATCTCCATCTGGTAAACCACTCTCACTGGGACATCCGAAAGAATCCGCTCTATTCTGATGCAAACAATCAGTCGAACGACACTTTGAAATTACGACAGCACTATCATCATCCTGTGCAAACGACTCTATAGATTTAGTTCCTAAATGCTTTTCTTTTAATTCATGGATAACTTTTGACGCTCGCTCGTACTTTTCTTTTTCGAATACTAAACTTGGAATGATATTCTTTTTTAAATAATTTTCATATTCCTTATTGGGCACGTTCACAATAAACAGTACTCCGGCCATGGCTGACTATTCATAAATAACGTTCGTACCAGCGGAGGTGCAGTGTGTTGCGCCCGCGCTCGCGTCTACTTCTGATCTAAGCTGCCGCTATCACATCACTAACTAATTCAGCCCTAGTAGCATTGTTTTATTTGCTGTCGAAATGTCGCCTTTATGTGCGGAAAATTACAAAACAATCGGCTTCCGTTCTTGCGAGGCATTCTGGCTTAAATTTGTTTTTTTTCTTTGTAGATTGCTTTGTTTTGGTTTTGTAATTATAAAGTACAAAGATAAGAAATACATTATAATGGTTAGGTGTTTAACTAGGATCATCTTTGTAAATGTAACATAAGTGTTCTACTACTTGTTTGAAAATTACATGAATAGTATTTACATTTATACGTAATAAGGTGGTCCTGTTATGGATTTTTCTTGTTTAGAAAATGAAGTACTGGCGTAGCAAGCATGTAGTTGTTATTAATGTTTAATTATTGAATCAATTCTTTACCACGTAAACCTGTAACGGATAGTGAAGTAAATCCATATAGAGCGTTTAAGTTTATTGACAATGTTCACGTGGCCGTTTCATCTTGTCGCGAGCATCCCCTCGGCAACGGTTGCGGGTCAAAATAAAACCGTAGCCGCGCAGCTGAGGCGGGGGCGCGCAGGGCGGCAGGGCGGCTGGCGGCCGGCCGGGCGCCCGCCCAGTCGCGGCACAGCCTGCCGCCCGCGCGCACCTCGCGCCCTACCGCGACACTCGATCAATAACCGTGATAACCTACACTGTTCTCCTCTGAACCCTTCACATGGACTGAGCGGAGTGCCGTCAGCTCGCCCAGCCACTGCCGCACACTTCACGTGGGTACCGCACTTCGTAACGCCGATAGCCGTTGTCAACACCATAAAACATGGCCACCTTCGAAAACACATGATCGCCAATACGGTTATTGGGACGCGAGCTATTCTCGTTGGAACCACAGAACGTCGGTTCATGTGTAGCTCCAGTGCCTAATGTATTCGTGTTTTTAACGTAGTGTGTTACGTAAATGCGCTACCGTCGTTTCAAAATCGATAAGTTATTAAATCTTTATGAAACGATTTGATTGGCGCCTCTTATTGTAGCAACTGGCTCCCGTCTTCGTTTCAAACGGCATTATTATAGCGTAGCATTAACTTTCCTTAGGTAATGTTTTGGTCTCCGTCATGGCTGTCTGTGAGGTTGACTAATTGGCTTTCCCGTGTTATTCAGCGGCGTTAGTGGTCGGGGGCCGTGGATGTTGTGTAATTGCCAAAAACGTGCGGCGGTAGGTAATCCGTCGTCAGGATAAATCTGTCATTATATAACGCTATCCTTGTTGTGACGTAAGTACTGTGCACAGGTGAGCTCCAGACAGTATGGATTTATTTATACCTTCTACGCAGACAGTTATAATATAATGCTCGGTACAGTTTAACACGTATGAGTTTAGTCTGAATATTTAAAGTAAATAAACGTTGTATGAAATTATCCAGAATTTGGATCTCTCCTTACATAACACATGTTTTACATTAAATTTTTCTATTTATTGTTCGGGTCGAACGACGTAACTAGGGGCCGATGCCTGGGGATACGCTATAGGGGTCGCAGAGTATTGAATGTCAATGTTTAAGCGAAACGTCTGCAGAGATCTCCGCACGCCACGTCGATGTGTTGACAACATCTGTTTGCAGATGGATGGAAGGAAATTTTATTGATGAGGTACCGCTAGAGGAATTTATGAATATTGTTAAATTTTCTTGCTTTTTGTTGTTAATGCAATCGGATTAAATCCATATTAATAAAAATATATACAATATTAGGAGTCGTTCGGTATTCTAACAACGATTTTACAAAAACCTAAAATAAATTATTGCAGTAGTAGTTAATACATATAGAAAAAATATTTACAGAAAATCATTTTAATGACGCGATTATTTTGATTTACGAGTTTCAAAAGCGTATCTACATTTCGACTAACTAAAACAAACAAGAAACTATAAATATTTTGAAACACAAGACAATCACTACTACGGCAGTAGTATTACTTAGGTAATCGTTTATTACTATTTAAGTACCTAGTTAGTCGGTGCGAGATTACAAATTTAATAACAATTAATATATACTTATCTACTTATATAAAGTGCATTTAATTTACTGAAATTATAAGTAAAACTGGTATGTAGGTAGGTACTGAGTTTGGTTCGTCACACAACGTCATCCGTGGATTTTCGTAAATTTATACGTTCAGGATTTTTTTTATTATAATTAATATTTAAAACATAATTTACATTCGATTTTCTTTTGTAAAACATATAAAATAGCGCGTTCAATGTCAAGACCACAGACGAGGTTCGAATTTTAAAATTGTAATATCCAAAGTTTGTTTGAAAAAAGGTTCGAGCCATAGATTATATTATGGATTGTAACCTTTTTGTAAGTGATGTTAGAAATATAGGTCACATGAAAAGCCTTTGTAAAGAAAATGTCAATGAGGTATGTAATTCGTCAGTCGATTTCGAAGTCGTTTCTAAGTATGGACTATTCGTAAATCGAATGAATGTATTGAACTAAAGCATTTTTTATGTTTGGAATATGGAACAATAACCCCTATATAGCATGGCACTAATAACATAATTAGGAAAACCTGTCATCAAGCTTAAATTAGTAGTTTAATTTAACTAGACCTATTTACTTACCTACCTATAGCGAAAGAGAATCGCGGCGTCCATTATCTTGTTAAATTAAATTAACATTTTAGAAGATTAAGCGGATTTTAGCCCTTGACTGCAGAAAAGGTTTCATTTCCCTTCTAATCATAATAAAGATGTTGATTTAAGGGTCAGTAGAACTAAATAAAGGATACTATAACAAAATATTATTTATCCACCAATACTTTAATATATATTCTTGATTTTATCGTGATGCATTTTACGTTTACTGGTATTTTTTTCCTAATATACAGTGTAAAATATTAATTACCGGTTTAGCTAAACATTTTCTATGTTTAGCATTGTTTGGTAGTAGCCTCGAATCTGGATTTATGCCTGGCTAGTTGCCCCGCTTTTATAACGGGCAAAATAATGTGTTTACACAGCTGCCAAACTGTAGTTCAGCTATAACTGATCATGGCGCTGATAGTCTGATCCAAAATAACAATTTTATTGACTAGGTATCTTCTGGATATTGATAGTGAACAGATTGCTTTACGGGAGGTTAACTACTGAATACAAATATCAGTAGTATTGATTTGACATTTGACATATTGATGTCAAATGTTAGTGCCTTCTTCTACGTAAAATCAAATTAGTACCTAGGATTCACTTGGTTGCCATTAAAGGGGAAAAAATTGCACCGAGGGGTGCTCATTAAGGGATTTCGGTAGTAACTCGAGCGCGTCAGGTTAACATAGGGAATATATAGTATCGTGTTGAATATACCTAGGTACTCAATACTTAACGAAAATAAGGAGGGGAAGCGGAGGTTTGAAGTAAAAAAAACACACGACAGGCAAGTTAAGGGCACGTAGGTATTAGGTACTAGGCTGATTTTATTCTATTTTTTTTTTGAGAACTATCGTTTCCTTTTCTCCCACTAGAGGAAGGTCATTACACCATTGGTTCGGTCTATCAACATACATATCTTCAAAATTAAATTGGTCCCTTCAACGCTCGAGTAACTATAAATGTACCTTTATTTACAAGTTTACTGCGTTTTACGTAGCTCATAATTATGGTATGAGTATCAACCCTTGATTAATTAGATTGGACACACCTTTGTTTGACTCTTGGATACAAGATAATGAATGGGTCTTATGTGATGAACAAGCTACATCTAACATTATTTTTTGTAGGTATTTAAGACCGTTTGTGTTTTGCCATAAAGTTTAAAAATATTATAAAATATAAGGTGACAGGTGTGATTTGACGTGGCGTAGTTTTTGTTACAGTACAAGTGGAAAACACTGGATAAAACTCTCCTTTAAAGTCTTCTTTGCCCAAAGTGACTATGTATTGACTATATATTGGCAACGAATTGTAATTTGTAGTTACAAAGTCGTCTAAACGTCCCTTCGCGACACCCTTAACAACTAAATCGATTCTTTGTTGATTTTATCAACAATCAAAATACGTTCCCATTATTTGGAATTTGGCACAATAAGAGGTTTGACCCTTGAGGAGGTCATAGGACATTTTGTTTCATTTTGAAAGAAATTCTAATGAACTGATTCGATTCAACATAATAGGGTAGCTGCCTTATAACTACGACTTATATTTTTATAAAAGAAAACGATTTTATCAAAGGCACGTTGCCTTTGATTTCAAGCAATCGATGGACGAAGAGGAAACATTTTTATCAATTCGCCAATTGGTCAAAATGGCTTAAAATCCATATATGACACAGACTTCAACTTATCACATGCATTGACGTTTCTGATCTAGTCGACGATCTCCTTTATGCTAGTTATCTACAGAAGCAGTGGAAAGCTGTCGGAGTACTTTCGAGTTAGATGTAAAACATTGTAATACTAATTATATTGCTTTTTAGAATATTTAATTTATGGGACATGGGTTTGAAAGTTTTCCTGATTTTGGCGATAGAGTTAGATACTCCTCATCATTTAACTGAGTAAGAATTAGAAGAATTTGTTTTTCAACTTATTCTTTAAAGTAGGTATATCTACAATCATTCTTGTATATATCATCATCAGCCTAGTAAAGCCAACTGTTGAGCAAAGGCCTCTTCTCACACGGAAAAGGTTGTTATCCATTTTTTGGTCGGTGCTTAACCACCACGCTTGACTAGGCGGATTAGAATTTCAAACTTCTGAGGGTGTCCGTTACCCAGACCAGATGTTGTCGACAATGGTCATTTGAATCTTATAGATAATTAGTTGTGCGGCTTCTGTAATTGTTGCACACGTTTTTAAATTTGTTGCGCTTATAGTTTTTTAATTATTTCACAAAAACATTTCTAAAGTAACCTTCTAGCAAGACTGAGTGCGTGAATGAAAACAATGTATTACCCCCTCACCCCACTCCTCCCGCGTCCTACCGAACGGCATGCTCTAGCGGTGATTTTTGATAATTTTTTGGAACTGGAAGATAATGTTTTCTTTTATATTATTATTATATAGGTATTTAACAGTGTACGCGTCTGTACCAAAATTGTAAGGTGTATTATACTAAACATTTCAAAAGATAGTACAATGTTCT